TTCTTATTTACACAGATCATTTTTTCATGAAGTACCTAGTTTACTGTAGTTTGAGAAGTAACCAGATCCAGGAGCTGAGTCCACAACAGGGAGAGAACAAAATCAGCATTTTCACTTCAGCCCAATTTAGATATGAGCAGCTTCTTGATGTGAATTTACACCAAGTGCACCAAATTGTGAACTCTTTTAAAGAAGTTACTGTTATCAAACAGATTAAACAGCACACATCTGTTCAGACTGACATGCAAAAAAAATTGTAATGAGAAAAGCTTTCTTTGTTTGAAACCTGAGAACGATCACATCACAACAAACACATGTAGCAGCTGTATGTGCGATTCGATTAAAGGCATGCCAGTTAAGACAAAGGCTTTGTATAAGCTCACTGTCTGGATTGCTTTGATGACAAATTACTTTTAAAGTCCTATAAAAGAGATGTGTTGCCATAATGTGTTTCTGAGTTTTTTGACTATTACTTTTTACATAAGTAATACATGGGACAGTATAAATATCCAGACTCACACCTGCTTAATTCTTATTACAAAAGACACACACCTCTTAAGGTTGTCGTCTCTTGGTAAAAAAAAATCACCAAAAATTGGAAGCAAGGGGCCCCTCGGATGAACACACCGTCACTTATACAGCTCTCTGTTTACATGATAGGAAAGTTTTGTCTTTTTTTATGTACCATCTTTGACTTTCAGTGTTACTAAGTCTCTTTCTAGCAACACATCCCTGCTATTCAACTTCCAGCTCAAAGCCCAGTGTGTGGCCAGATTGAACCATTTACATGACAGAGAAAATCAATCTCTATGTTAGTCAGACGAGAAGTTCGATTGCCATGATTTCAATCAAATTAATGTATTTACATGTACGCTAAAAGTCCAGTTTCAAGCTAAGGGGATACATCCATTTCTCGAACATGTAAAAGGTACTAACTATCTCTAACTAACTTTTCATGATTATAAAGTCACAGGTGAAAAAAGTAGAGCGAAGGCAGGTTTTCAGCCAACACTCCTACTCATCTGTCCAATTAGCCATTCCCTTAATTATGCAAATATATTCATAACTCTTGGCCTGCATTTAAAATGGATGCATAATGTGCAAAAAAAAGATCACCTTCTTTACAGTAGTCATGGAAAAAGAAATGAGCTTTTGAGATGTCAAAGGTTTTTTCTGTCAGGCTGGAGACATGTTCATTTCTGCATTTTTACACACGGGAGATCCTTGGCTTTTCCAGGAGCTGCATTTTTCAGTTCCTCAAGCCTTTCTCACCCCTGCATTGGCTTCATTATTCAACACTGAGATTGCCTCTTGACTACACCCAATCATATGCCCAGCTGATGCACTCTGCTCTATGCGGTCGGTTCATGAATGTGATTAACACAGGACGTTTTACACTTGAGGTTGCAGATTGAATCCCTGGTGCACTATTTAAGCCTGAGCTATGATTTTTTTTTTCCACAACCTAACTGATAAAATCTGCTAAGTGCACATTCCTCAAGAGGCCAAATCAAGTGTAATCATTTAGGCTTAACCTTTTTCTTGCCAGGTTAATTGTGTCTATATGTGTCTAAGAAAGCAAACACAGAGACTTGAGAACTCTGAGACTCTCGTTTCATCTTTATAAGAATAGAAATTGGTGTATTTCCCAAAATATCTCTAAACATTCAACAGTTTAATTAGAGTAAGAAGCTTCTTTAAGGGGATATAAAGCAGCATCTTGAAGTCTGCCAAATTTAAATATATATGAAGACATAAGTCTGAAGCCCTGTGCTTTTTCTGCATGAACCTTTACAGTATAAGCTTGTTTTTGCCAAAGCCTGGAGCTTGAGCCTGATTGGCCGATCTGTGCATGTACAAGCTTTGGCTGACAGCACACTTCGGTGCTCACCTGACTATAGACTCAGACTGTACCTGGCCTGCATTCATGTTTCTGGACAGTGAGTTTTGTGGACTTTAAACTGTACAAAAATCGTATAAATCCAGTGTTATATGGACGGCATGATATTTTTAGGTGATATGCAGAACCTTTTGGCATCCTGTAGATCGTCCTAATGCTATTCTTCAGGCTTGTACCTGTGCTGGATGAGTGGATTAAGGTGTGTGTGTGTGTGTGCGTGTGTGTGTGTGTGTGATGCTCTGTTGTGAGTTAAGTGTTGAATTGTTGTCTCTGCAGTAAAGACAGAATATCTGGAACTGGGGCATTTTCTTTGCCTCACCCTGAAACAGAGTTTGCTGCAGGATTAAATTAAAAATACTGAATGCCTCTATTTGTGTAAAGGAAGTTAAGATATTTTTAAGACTCATGAATTCAGCCTGCTTTATACTAATTATGTGTAAACCACTGATTTTGACAGCCACAGGAGTTTAACGTACTAACCTGCAGTTTTCCTCCTCGGTTTCTCAAAGTTTCCTGATCTGGCCTTGCTTGCAAACCTCTCCAACATGTTTCTCTCTCTATGTAAATGTCCTGGATGCAGATAGGAGTTTCAAAATAAAGGCATTGTGCTCGTGTTTGACCAGTAACAGCATGTCTCCTACTCTCTGCTGGATGCTCTCAAGGCGTCAGATTACTGTAAATGTCTTAACTCTGTGGATTACAGTCTGATTCTCAGTGCCCTGGTGAGAAAACAAATCAAGCAGGAGAAAAATGTGATTTACGGCGCCACTCTTTTCCTCCGTGTGATCTTATTTTGCATAATGTTCTCGTGCTGCAGGATATTTTTACAGGGAGTCAGTGAAGCCTTGTTAATGTACCGACTGGAACTGCTCCGTGTGATCAAAATCATGCTGCTGTAACTGCTTTGATAAAGAAATAAATCTCCCTCCAGAAACTGAGTCTGTCCTTTTATTTCCACCTGAATAATGCTCTGAAGGCTGCAGAAAGCAGGAGGATAGTTAAATAAATCAATGTTATATTATAGCACTGCAAACATGATAAATCCAAGGCTAGATTTAGGGCTTGGTGATAAAAATGTGCCGATAGGGTGAGGATGTAGAATTATAAATATGTAGATACATTATTTTTGATGTAAAAATGTTGAATGTTTGATGTATTTTTCAACATATTTTTATTATAGTCGACTGTCTATAATCAACCACATAATGTGAAAATGGATCCACATTATATCATAAAGCTCCTGTGAGGAGTTTTTGGACTTTTACGAAATAGAGCGAAGTTCACATACACGCCGTTTTATGACACATAAGAGAAACCCATGATAAAACAGACACAGGGTTTTTTATATGGTAACCTTTAATGCCTTAAATTTGTGCAGGAGGGTAAGTGCCAGCCATGCAACTGGAGAAACGGCCCTGTTGTACCTTTTTCACATTAAACATTCATTAAAAAAAAAAAAAAAAGTATAGATTTGACTGTCAGTAGGATGTTTTTTTATTATTATTATTATTATTTTTTAAGAACACCTTTTAAATTGAATTTCATTAATTTCACTGGATTTTCCTTCGGGGATCAATAAAGTTCTTCTTTTTCTTCCAAAGTATGAATGATATGATAAACAAAGACTGCCTTGTCCACAGGGGGCGCCAAAATTGACACAAACCAAAAGTTTCTCATGAGATCCTTGAAGACACTGCTTTACTCTGTCACATCTGTGTTACTATTTTCTTAACCATTCTATCATTTATTTTACAAAAAAAAATAGATGTGTGGATATATTTTGAGTTTTGGGAAAAAGATGAGTCAAAATTTAGAGAATATATCATATGGTGAGAGTGATATTTCTTTGCAATGAAGAATTAGAAGTGCAGTAAGAATTGGAAAAAAAATATACATATATTTCTCATAATGTTAAGGGGTTGGGGGGGTCTAAAGTACAAGTCTAAAATAATGACTGTTATCCCAATTTTTAAATTTATTCTCTTTTTTCAGCTTTAACGTGTCCCCATACTCATGCAAGGTTGAGTTTTGCCATTTTATAAGTTACTTTTTAAAATACCAAAGAGGTTTCCAATTTATCTTTCTTTTTGAAAATACAAAGTTGATTCTTTTTCTTGCAAAGTTGAGCATTAAAACTATCACACCTTTTGAGATGTTTATTAATTAACAAATTTAATTTCTCTCTCGAACAGATGATATAATATTGACTGCAGGTGAGTGAGTTGAATTAAAATCATATTGTGGTAGTCTAACCTGAGCAAATATCTAATCACAGAACAGGTCATGTGACTGAACATCATCATTGACTTTTGTGTTTTATGCTGCACATTTGAACAGGTTTTTGTAAGGAGTTTTAATCTGGTTATGAAACAGACTAAAACCCACACCAGGTGTGTCTCTGTGACCTACAAAAGCAAACTGGACCATCAGCATCAACGTTGATCATTTCTTTGCTGTAATTATTGATGTCGGAAACCATAGAAATGCAGAAGTTGTCAGGAGGGACAATTTATTGCAAATTGAAGAAAATAGTCTTTTCTTTACATTTGAGATGTGTGGTTTGACTGTTCAAAAATACCTTATATGGAGCTTTGTCCACAGGAAGTGTCGTCAACATAAACTCCTCACAGGAGCCTTAAGAAAACTCTTTCTTCACAACACAGTCTGGGAAAGAGGCAATGAAGATACTTGAGGATAATAATTAAAAAAAAAAAATTGTATCGTTAAAGGTCTGTGTAGTATTGGGTAAAGTTTGCAGTAGCCGGTGGTTGCATTCTTGATTGTGATGCATCCTTGCTCAACCCTAACCTTGGTGAAACTCCACAAGCTACGGTGGCCTACAGGGACAAAAATATTATGCTAATATTTTTCCACAATCACGCAGCCCTGACTTGCTTTGTCTTTGGAAAGCCCTGAGGCTATCACAGGTTGTGTAAGGGGTAAATAACAAACACCATCACAATGTGCCTCCTCTTTAAAGAGTAAAACTTGTCAATACAAAATTAGAAAGCATTTTCCCACAATGTGTAGAGATACTTTACAAATACATTTTAGCCTTTAAAATTCAACATCTGAGGTCATCCTCAGTCCCTGGTTATTTTCAGGCTCCTCTCTGTGCTGGATCCTCCAGGATGTCTACAACAGTCTTTCCTGTGTTGTCCAGCATGGGGCGCCACTCAGGAGCATCAATGACCTCCAGCAGAGCACCCAGCTCGAGTTCTAACTTCTCCACTGTGTCCTCCACCTTCTGCTGCAAGACATGTTTGCATGGTTAACATGTGAATGAAACATTTATAAGACATAGACTGAAAAACAGAATCATGAATAAAATAAAGATGAATCATAAAGTCACACAAACAACTGCTCTAAAAGGTCAGTGAGTGCAGATAAAAGAGAGACTTTCCCCTGAGCACATCATAAAATAAACTTTAACAACATCTTAACCCTGAAAAAGCGAAGCCAAGAATCCTTTTCGAAAGGAAAGAGAGATGATGTTGAATAATAAAAAAGACAGGAGCCAAAAACCTCCAAAGACCTCATTTTGAAACACTGTAGGCCTTCAAAGTCAGGTTAGATTGGAAAACAGCACCTTCTCCACGACGTCCAGGCGGTTGTGAAGGTTAACGTGCTCCTGACAGGCACTTGAACGCACCGCCTGAGGCCGGGGGTCAGGGTCAGGTCCTGAAAAAGAGAAGATTTACAGTAAGTGATGAGATGTGACGTGAGCTTTGGTGGTTTAAAACTACAGAAACATTTTCAAAGCTGTTCAGTGAATCAGCACTGATTCTATGATAAAACTTTAGTTTTCTTTGCTTTTCTGAAAACAACAAGAACAAAGAAAAATGAATCTTTTGAGCTGCATTAGGTACTGACAGAACACTAGAATCACTTTAAGAAAAAATCAACAAAGAAACTCTTGCAGGTTAAAGAAACAATATCAACATTTTTAACACTGTTTTACAGCTGGTACAAAACAACCCTAGCATTTATAATATAAGAGAAGGGTGAAACAGAAGCTTATGAAAGACTCTATTAAGAGTGTATTAAATGGCATCAAAGTGGCTTAATAAAGTCTTAATTAAGGGTATAATAAAGGCTAATAAAAGCATCATTCAGCATCAATCAAGGCTTTATTAAGATTGTCAACAAAGCTTTATTTATGCTTTATTAAAGGGTGTTACAAAGGTCAAGTGCATGATTGGTTCAGGTCGTTATAGCTCTAAAAGGCTTAAAAAAAACATTATGAAAGATGTAATGAAGGATTAATAAGGGCTGCCATGAAGGTTTAATCAAACCTAAGTTCAACGTGTAATTAAGACAATATTAAGGGTGTGTAATAGGCTGAAAAGGCTCTATTATGGATATAAGAAAGGCTTTAATAATGATGTAATAGACGTTTGGTCAATGGAGTGATTAAGGCTTATTAGAGGGTGGAAAAAGGGCTTAAGAATGCTTAGTTAAGTATGTACTTCAGGTTCAAAAAGACTTAGTAATGGTTAGCTTTTATACAGGGTTTATAAAGGCTTTATTAAGGGTTTAATTAAAACTTGTGATACAAGTTGCCAGTAAACATGGTCACTCTTTAAACCAATACACTTGTACTCTGATCCTGTTAGAGCTCTTTAGAAATCCAACGACTGCTTGTTTCCATCTGAATAATTTAACTCGTGTATTTCTACTGTCAAACAATATGTTTACAAAGGATGCTGGACAGTGATCTGTTTCACTGAAAATCTAGACACTGTATAATTTTTGCAGCAGTCAGCACTCTGAGCTCAGGCTGTGAGTTCACTCACAGGATGTGGGGATGGTGGGGGGCCGTGTGCATTGTTGCAGACGTCTCTCCTCACAGTGATGTTTCCAATTATCAGTCTCTCTTTGAAGCCGACATATGTGAGAGGGAGGTGCATCCTTTTGCAGGACTTTTTCCTGACACCTCCTGACTGCCTGCAGACTAAGCTCACACTGATACAAGTTCAAACCACAGAAGTTTTCAGACATTCACTGAATGCTGGCGGAGCTGCGGCCGCTGTTATACGAGTGAAACATCAAGACAGATTGTGCTGTTATTGAACATTAATGATGGTGTTAGTTCAGCCTCTGCTGGGCAGCTTTAGTCAATATCTTTTCCCCTCCGTCTATGGCAGCCTGCCAATAACCAAACAAGGTCATGTTTCACCTTTTCTCCTGGAAAAAGGAAGTCCCAGAGATAACAGTTTAAGTCCAGCATATGGTGAAAACTTTCAGTGAGCCATTTATTGAGCTCTCTCTAACAGTACAAAATCTAACTGCTTTTCCTGTAAGTTCAAATCCTGAAATCTGAAAGCTAAGGACACTGAATGCTTCCTGTTTGAGTTGTTAGGCAAAGTATGTTTAACTTTAAAGCTTTCATTATTGAACATTTCATCCTTTTTATTACTCATTTTGTCCTCTTTGTTGTTTTACTCCCTTTAAAAAAAAACAGAGCTCCACTCTTGCACCAGTTTGGAAACATTGGTTCTTATAACAAAAGATATTTAGTCGACTGTCCTGTTAAGATGTCTGTCATGTTATGATTTCTGTCCTCTTGATCTACTAAGAGCTGAAAATTTCCCCATATTCACATCTGGTGGGTGCAAAACAGCATTAGAGCTCAGTTTACACTCCTTTGCAAAGTTTACACTCAGGATTCCTCCCCTGGCTTTTTACTTTTAAACTTTTGGACTTAAAGGAATATTCCAGCGTAAAATTAATTTAGGGTCAAACACACCGTAACACTGAGTTAGACACCCCCTCGGGAGATTAATGTTGCCAAATGCTTGCTTCTTTAGTTATCCCAACTTTAGTGATGACCGCATGATAGCAAAACACAGCGGTCTCAAGAGCCACGCACAAACCTCAACCAAAACGCCACTCTATAGCCACAAATAATGCTCAGAACAGCACCTAACTTCATCAACAGTACATATAGGGTCCTAACCACAGCATTAGCCACCAAACATCTTTTAGCTTTGCCTAATTTCTTTAGCAAAGAGACGAAACACAACTCACCCACTCTCTTCCAGCAGCCGCTTGTTTGTGGGGGAGCCCCGATGAGTCGATCACTGAGTGCAGAGGAGTTTCACGGCTCAAGGAAAGACATTTATGATTGTTACTTAATGGAAATGCAATCAGACCGAGACACTAAGGCAAAAAAAGTACCGTGTCTGCAGTGCAAAATGATTAATATGGTGATCGACTCATCAGGGCACCCCCACAAACAAGCGGCTGCTGGAGGAGAGTTGGTGAGTTGTGTTTAGTCTCTTTGCCTGAATCCCATGTCCTGGACAGCAGGACATGGGATCAAATCCTAAAACCTTCAGATTGAGAGACAACTGACTCTACTACTGAGCCACCACTCATGTACTGTGCAGAAAGTGGCAAAGAGTTTGAAGCTTATTGAAAGCCTCCACTTAACATGTTTGGAGATCATTTATCTGGTTCTTGTTAACATAAATACAGTAATAACAACAACTCAACCAAGAGCAACAGCCAAAACCAGTAAACGGGTGTGAGTTACATTTTTTACACCTTTATTAACACCACAACAACAACATCACATTCAAAATGGAAATGATCAGAATAAAGCCTGAGTTCATACAACCTTTTCTTTCTTCAGCTCTGACGCTTTTTCAGCACAGTCGGTCAGAAATGATTGCCATCTCTTATTCTGTACACTGTCTTCCCATGTCCGGCCGTGCCTCTGCATCAGGCCCAGCTGATTTCACAGATATCTCATGGAAACATCTTAAAGGCTCAATTACAGTCAGCAAGGGACGGCAAGTTCAGAACAAGAAACGCTGAGCGAAAGAGCGATGACTGGAGAAGAGTGAGTTGATTAAGGATTTACCACAGAGCAGAAACACAGTCTGCACATGAATGATCAAAAGTCTGTTTAAGATGAAGAAGTTCGGTTTTGGTTCAGAAACACAGCTATGCTCCCATCAGAGTGTCAGTGTGTGTTTACGATTGTGAATGCAGCACAGCCTGCTCTTGATCATGAATGTTGTATGAAAAGGAAGAGGTGTTTGAGCCGTTCGCAGTTAGCGACACGCATTAAGGTGCTGATGCAGCTCAGCTGAGAAGTTTTCTTCTTGCTCGTTTGTGTTTCTACACTGCAAAAAGTCTGCTACAAGAATATCGACAAGCACATTTCTCTGCCAGAAGAACAAAGAAGTGCCACCTCTTACATTTCTAAACCAGGTAGGAAATTTAAGTGTCACAAAAAACACAGATTTCTCGTAACTATGCAGCTTCACAGAGTTTATATTCACTCTGCAGGCAAAAGTGACTCACATCTGAGTATTCTGCTAACATGGGACTCATCAGATTTTTCATGACAGGTATGACCCTCAAGTCACAAAGATTTGGGCCTTGTGGTGTGTGATCCTAAATCAGATACAGATCAGACCTTTTTTGATGGGATTGTGGTCTCAACAGCTAGTTCTGAAAGCGTGCCACTTTGCCACAATCTTTAGAGACACTTGTCACAGCTCTGTGCTGGAAGCAGGAGTTGCTCACTTGTGGTAAAAACAACCATGGAAGACACTTTAGAGGTGGCTCCTCCAACGTCTCCTGAACTTGAACTTTGGTTTAAAGCCACACACCCTTTTCAGTTGTTGGTCATTTGTGCAAAAAGCTTATTTCAGGACCGAGATCATTTCACACTGGAGTCTGACACAGGCCACATCAAAAAAGTAATGTGAACCACCAAGAGAAGAGTTTTCTTAACAGAAAAAAAAAGCTTATTAACCATCTGTGCTCAACCAAATCTCTCGGAAGTCTTTGATCGAAAAGTTTGAGACAAAGGAAACTCTCCAGCTCATTAACTGCTCGGAAAGATGGAAAATATCAAAACAAACAAAGTTTCCAATATTAATGTGATTTCCGATATTTAATCTGATCTAATCTCGTTTTCATTTTCGCAGTTAAACTGGCAGGAACATTTGTCCTTGTTTGTGTTGGATCGTGTTTCCGTTCAGACTTTTGTTCTCTGTCAGAAATGTTCCAGAACGTTGAGAAACCACACAGAAAGAAACCCCAAAACTCCAGTAGATACACACATGCATACACGCACACACTCAAATACGATGATCTAACTAAGTGACTCCACCCAAGGACAGAAGTGAATGAGTGTGTGTGTGTTTGAGTGTGTGTAGTTTTTTCTCAATGTGTGTATCAGCACTCTTGAAAGAGAGTGAGAAAGAATTTAGTGAAGGACTGAGGAGTCACAGAAGGTCAGAGTCACATACACACACACACACACACACACACACACACACACACACACACACACACACACACACACACACACACACACACACACACACACACACACACACACACACACACACACAAACACACACACACACACACAGTTTAGTCTGACACACAGCCATGGAAACACTGATACACTCTACATGCATATTAAATAAAAAGTAAACTGTTAAAAGATGTGTGTATAGAACGACTTCCTGCTTTGGCAGAACAGACTTGGTAGAAATAGAATTTCTTTGGATAACAACTAAACTAAAGATATTTGCATTTTTGTATCAAGTGAGTGGCCGCATAAAATCTTTTTATCATATCTGCCTTTAGTGCCTTTATTTAGAGGACCAAATAATGTACAGAGCAGAAAATGGGGGGAGAGTGGGGAGTGACATGCGGTAAAGAAGGTAAAGGCCAAAACCATAGACTGTATATACTATAGACAACTTCCGTCTTCCAGCGTATGAATTTGAAGCCAATTACTCTCGGTTTTTCTGGGATTTTCTCTTCTTCCCGAAACCACCACTTGCGTAGTAGCGTTGTACGCATTCGGCAGGCGAGTCGCTGGGATGACGTTCTGCCCAAACAGCATCTCCCCTGGACATACTACGCAATCTTTGTACGCCCATAGGCTGTATCAAGTGTCAATCACAGAAAACATGAACCCTTGAATAACTTAAAATTGGAGCTGCACAGAAAAAAAAGAGGACTTGAACAGCAACAACTTTTTTCAACTGTAGTTAAACATACTGGAAGAAGAGGTGGGTGCTAGTTTGTACATTTGTATTTCCTGTATTAGGCCTTTTTTTTAATAATTATTTGGTCATTGCCTTTTTTGCACTAATCTATTTCTAAGATTTCATAACCATGAGGAGGTGTACCTTTATCGTCCTCACTAAGCTCGACATGTTCTTGGTGTATTTGATCACCACCAGGATTGTACCTTGCCGGTTCTGCTGTGACTGTCATGGACAGGGTCTACAAGTCTTAAAGTGATTGAGGGGCTGCGTTATCAGCAAAAATGCTTTTTGCTTGTGATGCAGAAATGTTGGCTTTAACAAATTGGGACCTCAAAAATGCATTTAGGCTATTTGCAGCCAAGAGTCTGGATGAAGGGATGAGGGTCAGCAGGTCAACGTTCAAGACCATGGTTCTTTGACAGTCAATAGTGGATTGTCTACTCGAGGTGGGGGGGCGAGTCTTTTCCTCACAAGAAGGAGTTTAAGTATCTGAGAGGTCTCGTGGCAAGTAGATTGGATTGTGAGATTGACTGACATGTTTGTGCAGCATCAGCATTACAGTACAGATGGTTGTGGTGACCAGGGAGCTGGGCCTGAAGGCAAAGCTCTCGATTTACAGGTCAATCTAAGCTCCAAACCTCTTTTGTGGCAATGAGTATTGAGTTTTGACCAAAAGATGGACATAACTTACAAGAATGGTTTCCCCTGAAAAGGAATTTTCTGGATGCATTTAGTTGGGAGGAGATCCAGAGGTATATCTAGAACTGGCCTGAGGGATTATATACAGTATCTTACCTACTCTGGGAAATGGACTGACTTTAGAAAGACTTTTTGTTGTCAGCCACCTTTACTCTGATCAATGCCTGAGTGAGCAAGTGAGTGAACGCCACAGGTTATTGTCCACCAAGAGGATATACTGTACAACTCTTCTGCTCCTTTCTGATTTCCTGTGAGCTATAAAATCTGCTCCACTGTGTCAAATTGAAGGCTGATGTGATTGGCTGGGATTTGTCGGGCTCTGTTGACGCCAGCTTGACTCCTTTTCCAAGAACCACCAAGTTTCATCATCCAAATCTGGATTTTTAAATCCCATTTCTTGTTGCCTTAGACCAGCTAACCCATTTTACTTGAGTGCCAGTTTTTCAAGGCAACTTAGACTACTTAGATTCAGACATGATTTCAGATAAAAAATAATAATTAAAGATATCGCAAATCAAAAGTGAGAATTAAATTGTAAGGAGGGAAAATGACTGCCAATGCTGGAGGAAAACCTTTCTTGAAAAAATATTTTACATATAGTGTAAGAAAATGTTCTGGCTAGCTTGGTTAGCATTTAGAGCTAAAGAACTAGCAGGCTGCTCAGAAGGAGTTTTCTTCCTCTTTAGTGTCAGAGAGAGAGAGCTCTTATTGGTTGTTTATAATGTCCCTGAACTCTGTTTGGACAGGGTTTAGGTCAGTTAAGGTTTCGATGACGCATTTTAAAAAAAGTCAGAGTTGCTGCAACAGAAACACAGCTGTGTTTCCATCAGAGTGTCGGCACGTGTTTATCTGTGGATTGAAAATGCAGCACAGACTGCTCTTGATCATGAAAGCTTCATGCGGAGGAGGAAGTGCTGTTTGCAGTTAACTACAGACACATGAGGATGCTGAGGCAGAACTTCTGGGAAGTTTCTTTGTAACCAGTCTATGACTATACATTTAAAAAAAGTAAGCTCTAAAATATAGGTTTGGAGTTGTTAGATGTACAAAATATAAATTAACAAGACAATTAAGCATTCAAGACCATGCAAATTTGGCTTATTAAAAAATAATAAAGTATATATTTTTTTTAAATAGAAAACATTTAAAATTTTCTCTGTTAGAGTCAAGTGTGCCTTAGGTAAGCCTCCATTTTTTTCTGAATCTGTCTCAGACTAACTTAATGAACTATCAAAAAACAGTTGTTTGAACTGAAAATGTTGGGTCTAAATAGGCTTAAATTCAGGATGGTTGGATCCGAGATGTTGGGTTTAGAAAACGTTTACTGTTAAAAAAAAAAAAACAGGTTTAGAGGTACTAGTTGCAGATTGAACAGATTTAGGGATTCATTTTCATCTATTAAACTTGTAAATGTTAACACTGAGTTTCTTTGTCAGTCATCTGGCATGTGAACCAGACAACTTGGCAGTGAGGCAACATCAGTAACCAAGAGGCCAGACCATCTAGTTCATAGACAGATGGAAAAATGAAGAAGGGCACGGTGAGGCAGGGATGCAGAAGTTTTTCTTTCTTACACAAAAAAACTTTTTTTTTTCAGTAACTGTCATAAAGATCAACATCATCACTTGAGGTCTTTATCATTTGTAGAAATTTAGAATAAATAAAATGAGATGTTGATTCAAGCTGCATGATATACGCATCAATAAGTGAACAAGAAGAGAACCTGCTCTTATTTTTGTCGACACTTAAACTGACTATGAATTATGAGACGTCACATCTTAATTATTTTTACAGCGCACCACTGGATCCACAGAGAAGCTATCATGTTGTGTTTAAAATAAATCTCCAAAGTTTAGTACTCAAATGGAATTAGTTTGACTAGTTTACAGAAATAAATCTTCTTGCATGAGCCAAGACTGAAAACTCATGTTAACAGATCTATGACCAACTTCACAAATGATCAGTCATAAATAATTGAAAAGCCTGGACCTGCTGAAAACAGTACTTTGAGATTTTTTCAAGCAGCAGTTCAACAATTTGAAACAACTTTTTGCCTGTTTTTAAAGTTTATAATGCTCACTGAGACGTACTTTAAGAAGTTAACTTTTTCAAAATTTCTCTCCCATGTATTTGTACTCTTTTGTGTTTGAAACAAAAAGGGTTAAATTTCTCTGAAACAATAAAAACAAACCTGCAAGAAGAAACCATTCCACCCACATTAACTTGTTTATATTTAAGATGCCTAAAATTTGGAGGAGAAAAGTTGCTATGAGCCGAAACGCCTTCTCTATTTGTGAGTGACTGTGAGAGCCTGCCTGCGTTCATTAAGCGTCCTGCAGCAGCTGGTCATTCCTACAGAATGAAATCAGTGTATTTCACACTTGGGGCCGTCACTCACTTTGGTTTCCAGAGGTTTTGTCCATAGTTTGGTAAATTCTGTGTCAGATTTTAGACAAACATTTAGTAAGAAGGAGGTGGATGAACATTCAGGATGAAGAATAGAGTGGTAGTTTGAAACTCTGCTGACACAGTATTAGATGGAGTGGAGCCTGAGCTGCGCATAATTAGAAACAGATGTGCTGCAGTCCCTGTACAACACACAGACTCATGATGTCAGCTTTTGTGTGTGTTCACCTACACACACAATTACACACAAGAGTGAGGGGCGTAAAAAACACGCAACAAAGACTTGACGAGAAGAAAAGATCTGCATTAGAAATTTGGTTTCTACATCAATATATGGATCAGTTCTGTCCTGTGATCTTCGCTTTCTGACCTTTGACCTCTTCACACCCACACCCAGCTGCCTCACTTACCTGCAGCGGCATAGCCAATCAAAAGGAAGATGAGTCCAACCAAAGATGATGAGAGGCGGGCCATGGGGAAGCGAGGAGTGCGATCCAAAGACAGAGACAAAAAATGCAGAAAGATCCTGAAAGAAAGAAAAGATTACTCCTCCTCCTCCTCCTCTAAACTCTCTCTTTTCTTCTCTGTGCCGGGCGCTCTCCTCCTCTCTTTTGCTCTCTTATCCTTCTCTCTCTGACTTGGTAGCACCCAGTTTCCTTATAAAAACACAAGATGCAGGACAAAAAGCCCAGTATGTGAGAGGAAGGGGCGGGAGGCATGAAACAGGGAGGGGACTCAGACTCAAACTGACGGGCCTCTGGATGAAAAAAATCTGTTTTTACTCAGACTAATATTAGTTGTGAGTTTTATGTTACAGTTGTGGTCAATGACAGTTTTATTTTCTCAGTATACTTGATCTTGTGTGCAAAATCTCTTTCTGTCCATGCGAAACACTCAGTAAAAGTGTTTAACCCTTTTCATCCCTTTAAAGTGGTTTTAGTTTATTGCCCTGTTTCTATGACGCGCATCCTCTGCATCTTTCAGGAAGTAAAAACATTAAGAAGAGGCACCAACTGGCTAAATACAAACAGTAGATCGAACTAAACTTCTGCAACTCATTAGACCCCCAACAGGTGAACAGATGTAATTTATATCTGTATGTTAAATACTGACATACAGCTATATGGAAAAAGAGTCCTTATAAATGTTTTATCAGATCCAGATATAAAAGATTCCTTTTCATGAAACCATCAGCACTCTATCCATTATGGTGCAACCACACTGATCCTGACTAGTTGAGGTTTAAAGTAATGTAAATGTTTTACAAAGAAGTTCAACAGTGGATGAAGATCTAAAAGAAGAATGGCTGGAATCTAGGCAGAAACAGAGAACAGTGTCCTCTGCATAACAACAAAGACTGAGAACCTTGAGGAACTCTGGTTCCCCACATACTTAGAAACAAGTGTTCATTTTGGCTTATTACCTTTAGCAATGTTTGTGCAAAATTTCTTGATCCGATTAAAAATTTATGGGAACGGATAATCTGAATCCACTGTTTATATGGGTGCAAAATCAAATACTCCGATCATGACGTGTGTATATGTGCACCAAGCTTTAGTCAATGTAGAAGCATTTGGACATGCGCAGAATTGTCTGATTTCTTTAAAATAACCGCAGAAGAAGAAGAGTTGTATTTACGTCTGTGCTGTCTACAAACCAACAAACATGGTAGTGGCTCACTCCATCCAATTCAGGAGTTTTGCCCTCTGTTAAATGTTGTCACTAGATGGCGCTCTTGCGTACTTATTTTACTGTTCTGTCAAAGGTTGCACTGTGCATGCAGGTGTGATATCATTACGCAGTACGTACGCCTTATTATGTTAGCAAAGGAGCAAGCATGGCACCTGCAGTTGTGTTTTATTCCAGTGTTAATAATGAAACCTCCTGTACTGACCTCAATAAATAAGCTAAAGGCTAAAGAGTGGAGATCGAGTCAGGTAAGAGAGTCATGATCGGAATAAGTGTTTACATGAACGCGTTTTGGAATAACTATCGGCATAAACCAGCCCTCTCGATAGGAGTACAACATTTCCAATTGAGCCGAATTGCATCAGAATCTTCTGATCGACATGTTTACATGACGCATTTTATTCCAATTAAGCATTTAATCTGATTATTTGTGCCCATGTAAACACAGCTATTGTTACTCCTATCCCTGTTAGGATGTTGTGAAACCTGCCTCTCTTATGCAAACAGATGCAATAATTTTGTACCATAAACTGTATTTATAATATGGACAATGTGTTTTTGCCTCCTGCCATTGTACGAATTTGAAGCCAAATTGCTCTCAGTATTTCTGGGATTTTCCCCATTTCCTAAAACCGGCATTTGCACAGTTTCATTTGGCAGAAGATTCGCTGTGATGACGCTCTGCTCAAACAGCATAACCCCTGGATGATCTGTGCAATATGCCCATAGGCTGTATCAAATGTTAATCATAGAAAACGTGAATCCCCTTATAACTTTTAAAAATGGAGCTGCTCAGAAAAAAAAGAAGACTTGAGCACAAACCAGTGTTTCTACTGCAATACACTTTTATGAAGGAGGATTTGGAAATTTTAACATGGGAATTTTCTTCACAGCTCAACAGTTCATATCCCTTTTATAAAAAGAGCTGGGAAGCTGTGTGAAATAATAATAAAAAGCAAAATTTGCAAACCACCTGAAGCCAATATTTACCAGAAAATAGTGCAGCAACAAAAAATCTTTTTCTGGTTTTATGAAAAAAATAATTAAAGCTTGAATTTGTGGCAGCAACAAGTTTCAAAATAACTGTAACTGCAACATGTTTAGCATTGTGCTGCATCCTACAGAATTAGGGTCATATTTTCTATGTGGATATTGAGTGTCATGTTCTTTGCTTTGCTGATCATTAATGAAAAACATCTCAGACCTGGTAAGATCCTGTTTTAGTTCCCAATCTGCATCCTGGACCATGCCAATCTGGAGCGTTGACCTGCTGTGTAGAGGTGCTGTCATTTTTGTATGGGGCATAAAGCTTTAAAATAACATCGATAACATCTATTAAAATGTATTAAATATATAATCCAACAAAAAATAGGGCGTTTCATTAAATTTGCACAAGACATGCACAGATAAAATCCCTGTGTTGTGTTTTTCAATCAATAAGTTATGCTGTTTACAAACTCTCCTCTAAAGGCCATTCTGCGCAATTGTCTGTAATCATATATCATCATATAACTACATTTCTGATAAAACTGAAAATAACCAGGACTGGAAGCTGCTGCGCACTTTGTGGGAAAATCAGTAAGTGTTTCAGTTCAGCAGGAAGTCAGAAATCAAATCAATCGAGCGGCAAAGAATGTCCTTTTTAGAGCCATTGATTGGTTCCTGTTATTCCCCCTGAATAGACTTATCTGCAAGTGTGTGTGTGTGTGTGTGTGTGTGTGTGTGTGTGTGTGTGTGTGTGTGTGTGTGTGTGTGTGTGTACGTGTGTACGTGTGTGACCACCAGCACAAACAGAGCTCAGACTGTTGGGTGGTAAAGCGGTGATCTTCATTAAGCCAGACGGTCTGCAGCCTCGTGCTCGCCTCTTGTCTGGCCTCTTAAGAAGATCTGAGGGTTTAGCAGCAGAGAAGCAAACTGGAGGAAAAGTGAGTGGTGGGATCAAAAGAGAGAGGTCAAAATACTGCTGCATGTCTGATAATGTATGAAAGAAAGGAGGAGGAGGACAGAAGACAAGTCACTGATAGGTTCTTTAGTTAAATGAAATCCTCAAATAACAAACGAAAGACAGGGTTTGAATCAGGCTGAATGGGAATCAACAGCACTTTAAAGAGCCTTCATTTCACACTGTCAAAATGAATTTTATTCCTTAACATCACTTTTTACTCTACTGAGGCATATCCAAAAGTTTAAATAAAGCAATTTCACATATTATTCTCTTCAGATGTTTACTGTTTCACTTGAATCATTCAGATGGCAAGTTTAGATCGATTTGTTACTGATGGAACAGAGACATATTGGTGTAAATGTGGTATAGTTTTTTTTTTTTTTAGATTTTCAAAGCTCAAAAACCTGAAAGATTAAAGGAAGGGAAATAATAAAAATATTAAGGCTGACAAAACAATTTTCCAAATCTCTATCAACTGCTGAATTTTCATAGATAACTGATTGATCACATTTAAATTGCATCTAAAAGAATTGTCTTGATTATATAACCAAATGAATGCACTTGATGATTTTGCTTTTTGGTTAATATTCAGAAAAATGGACAGAGGCCATGGCATAGAGGCAGGTGGAAGATTCAGAGCATTTCATCTGCAGGTTTGTGGTGATTTATACACACAAATGTCCCATCAGTATCAGTGTGATGAGAAGTTATTGATCTATCGACAATATATATATATATTTTTAATTAAGTTTGGTGGCATTCTGTTTATTTATTTATTTATTCTTTGAGCCTTCTGGGGGTTTGCCACTGAAAAACATAGTGGGATCAAAATCTCTATCAAGTGGCTGCAGAAGGATACCAGAGCTGCACCCACAAAAAGGCACAAAATAAAATACAGTTCTATCTTGTACCTCAGTCACAGTGTGATTATTGCCTTTCTGCTTACAGCCCTAGTAAAATATGTTAATGCAAGTGGTTATATTGTTATATAGTAAAACATCCTACAGGACACACGCTTGGCTTTTACGATGAGCACTTCCAAAATATGAGAACACCATGTATATGCAATTCAGTGCAATAATAATCAAAAATGATAAATACTTTGAAATTAAATTAAAGCATAAATAAGAGTGAATAATGTCAAATTATGATTATATGCGTCCTAATATTGGCCTCATGATACAAACATGACATAACTGCATTATTTTTCCTGCACTGTCCCACTGAGCATTGACAATGAAATTTAAGGGGTAACCAAAAAGATCTGTATTGTTATTATATATATATGCAAACTTCTTTAACTGTAGGTCGAAGTTCATGTGGTGACCGTCCTGTGGTGAATGGTGGGGCAGTTTCCACAGGAGCAAAGCGAAGGATCACATGGTGTCACTCTGACCTGAGGTGGAGCATGGTCATCCACTCAGGTCTATTTCTGTCCACCCCACCTGTCTGTTTCCATCCACTGTAAACCCTCACAGTCTCCATCATCCTTCACCGTACTCAGAAGTGTAGAAAGATTCACATAAAGCTCTCTGAAGCCTATTGTGTTCAAACAATGAGCTGAGCCCTGCTCTTGTTACTTAACACCCTCACACTTCTTAAGAGACATAATCCTGATTGACCAAGGTTCATTAATCAGTATAGTAAGGTATAGTTAAGCTGCCCTGATTTATACATTTTTTTAATTAAAACACTCCTCACAGCGGTCACTAAGTCAACTTCCAGCCACATCCCATTGTTGCCTGTCTGTCCAACACATAACTATTATTTCACCTAATCAAACTTATCACTAGAGATATGCAGACTTAGCCAACTAAAAGACTGCATGTCATCAACCCTGTCAGCATCAGAATTATTTCTTGATTAAATAAATTATTAATGTTTATAGTCCTGCAGTTCCAAAATTAAGGTCATATATTCTGTGAGAGCTGCAGTGCAGCCTGTGGACACAAGCTGGAGCCACTGCCTCAATGCTTTGATACTTTACAGACATTAGAAAACATAGATGACAGAAAGTGTCTCGTTCCAGGGCATGTTGTAGGAATAAAGTTGGGCTGTAGGCTGTGTCTAGGTCAGCTGGGAAATAACCATGTGACAGAAGCAATTCATCACCAGGACAGGTATGTGGCTATAAACCTGCAAGGAGGGTCTAAGAACGGTGGTGCTAGCTCTGCTAGCGTTTGCCACTCTCACCTAAACATTTGAAATACCCGCAGACTTTGTGATACTGAGATTATCTGTGATAAATAAACTGTGCACAGTTTGGACTGTTTTCAAAACAACCTTATTTAGACCAGTCAGAAAGTCAAATTAAAATTTCTGTTAAAACTACTGGGAAACTAGTTGTCTCAGAACAGACATTAACATATGGAAATTAGTGATGCAAGTAATAGTTGTCCTAGTGTTACTATGATTTTATGTGAAAGAGATACACAGTTTGTGCTTGTTAACTGGTTGAAAGAGATTTTGCTAAGTAGGCTCTATGTAAGCTTGTGCAAAGAAACCCTGTAGCTGCTCTTGTGTCTTGAACTGGTCAGTACTTGGTCACAGCTTCTTAAGTCAGTCACAGTTATATTATGTATGTTTGCTAAAAGATTACTATTTTAAGTTTGCTCTTAGTTCATATAGTAATTGTGAAAAAAAGCAACAAGTCAGAAGTTTTGAAAATGCAATGCTAATTCATTTCTTTAGTTGAAATTTAGTTGAGAGGAATACAGTTGTCATGGTACATGTGGTCCTGAGTATGTTTGGGTAAATGTATGTTTTGAAATGTATTTTTGTATTACAGATGGTACGGTCATATTAATAGTCAGTATAGACGAGTGAAGGCAAGAGCTTTGTGTGTGGTCGCCCCTGTTCTCATGTCACTACTATTCCCACAATTTAAAGGTGCAACATAATGCATTAATGTAAACTGACAGTATTTATAAAAGCTGGCAGAGGGGACCTTATGAACCCAGTGAGAAGTCTTAATAAACTGAATACCTCATGTTTGATCAAATTGTTTGTTGAGCAAAGTTGTTTTATCAAGCAGTGTCACATAGGGGACTGCTATTATACTGAATATCAGCACTGCTGTGATTTATTCATAGGCACGAGGCGACAAGCAGAGTGCTAAAGACAGTCACAGCACTGCTGATATTCAGAGCATCACATCAAGCCATGAGGCAGTTCTGGGACTTGATTCCAACTGGACTGTTGCCAAGCAACCCAAATATTTTCAAGCACACTTGCTACTCAGTGTACGTCCAAAGCTTCAGCATGTCAGCCTTTTTCATAATCTGTAATTATTCAGGCTTATGTGCGCATTTATTTCCATTTATCATCAAACGGTGAATGAAGTGTCTGATTGGTTACTTTAGGGGCCCCTGAGGTACAAGCTTCATCAACCAGGACAAACAGGTTCGTTGTACAGATCAGATGCTGAAGACATATAGAAAGATATTCTGAAGACGGAAGAGTGTGCCAACACTGTAATGCTAGCACAAGGTTAGCATCAAGTGGTTTTAGGCCATTATCTATTTGTGTACCAGTTGGTTTGTGTCTGCTCAGTACAATTAGGTATAATTGCAGGTTTACAACAAAACATGGCTGTATTTCTTCATTATGCCACAGCAGGAAGGCAGTTAATTGTATCACACTACATTGTGTACACAGTGTAAACAACTCAGTTTATAATTGCAGCTTGCAGAAGAACACACACGTACAGTATATACATGCACACAGTGTTCCTCTAAGGTGTTTTGACAGTACAGACTGATGACACATTATTGCCACCCACTGACCTGGCATGCCTTTCCAGCAGGTCTGTGCTGTTGTATGGAAAGATAAATATTCAGAAAACACTTTCAACTTGGATTTTTTTTTAAATTGGAGGAGGGAAAATCAGATTTTGAAAATATAAAAGTAATATATTTATCTGCGCTCATAGGAAACCCCTTTTAAAATTTCTTTGTTGAAAAGAACTGTTTTAAAATAACTATTTAGCAAAAATATTTACCAATAACTAATGGACAGATAAGACCTCCAGGACAAAATCTCTGAGCTGCCTCCTATGGAACTGACACTGACACCATGGGCTCTATTTTCATGCCTCGCCGGCAGCGTGGCGTAAGTCAGGTCTGCCGCGCCTATGAGGCATGCTTAAGCACACTTTGGTATTTTGGTGAACAGCGAAGCCCGGCGTAAGTATCCCCTCGCCAGACTCAGCTCCTCCCAGCAGCGCAAGCAGGAAAGAGGGAGGTGAGAAGGCGCGGGGTGGGTTTAACACAGCCGAGTCCTGTTTTCACCAATCACATCAGCACCTCTCCTCACCGTTAAATCCGCCACCGGCAAGGCGTATTGCAAATTTTGTGAAGTAGTTGAAGAGATAGCTGAAGACAGCAACACCACAAAATCTCGTCAAGACGCAGTACCTCAACAAGTGTCGCGGTAAGTGCTGCAGAGGGCGTCCTCCACGCTATCTCAAATAAGCACAGAGGGATTTGGTGTGTGTAAAGTTGTACCCACTGGTAAGATAAACTTCCTTTACCACAAACAAAGACACTCACATCAAACCCCACGTGACAAAGATGGGTTGTGCGCACAGATCACAACATAAACAATTGCCAATAATGGCATTAAAATTAGAACCACCTGTGAGTAAAGGACAGATGACGCTCCGTGGCCTGGCTCTTTCTTTCACTAATGTTGGCATATAAAATGGACTTGGCTCACACAACTGAATATTATAATATTCTTATGTAGGCTATACTCCGGATTGAATATTCACAGAATATTAAGGATGTGAGAACAAACTGGCTGTGTGCCAGGCTGTGCCAGACTAAAAAACCACTGCCCGGAGTGTGCCACCCTGCGCAGCGCCACTGCCGTACGCAAAAATAGAGCCCCATGTGTGTCCCACTAAGGCTGTAAGCTCCACCCACCGTATTATCCATCTGCTTTCCTGAGATTCACCTGCAAATACTGCGTGAGCCATGTCTGCTGGAAGGATTATCTCTGATTACACACTTTCCTGTAGTGAGTTTGGGCAAACTCATTATCTGAAACCCAAGGATCCTCAGATTGTAGGGACATGCAGTTGGACATCCAATCAGAGCTGAAGAGGATCTGAAAGTCATGCCAAGCACTGGCAGCAGCCAGTTTACCTCTCCTCCACCTCCTATAAAGTGTCTGTTATCTGTAGCTGCTGATCTCTGTCTGCAGTTACATGTACAGTTGCTTGCACTTGGAAAGGTAGTTTGCAGCAAGATCTTCTTACAGATGGAGGCCATGACAGTTCACAGTTCAAATGATGGTGTGATCAAACCAAATGTGAAGCAAAGTTTGTCTCTGCGTCAGCTGCTTCAACTTTATACCTGGCTGTTTTTTTTCTGTGTAATTTCCAACCCCTGAATTTGCAATTATGACTGCCAGTGGAGCTGGATTGTGGATGTGGTTAATACAAATGCCAAAGACTCGTTGTATTTTGTACTTTGCTGGTTATCATGTCATTCAATCAGTGGACGCCAAGTATGCCTTGTTTTGTCACTCTTCCTGAGTCTGGTGGTGTTTTTCTGCCCTGTGTGACTGCATTTCATGTACTTGTTTTGTTTGTTTTTTGTTCATGCAGGATTAGCCTTACCACTATTAAACGTTAAGTCATGTCTTTTCTCTTGGACAATTTGTTGTCAAGCCATGCTACAAGTTTTTTTTTTTGTCTTCTTGGTATTTTCTCTAGTGTTTTGCCGTGTTTATCCAGACCTTTTTTTTCTTTTTCTTTTTTAATGATAAATCAGTAATTTTTGATTTTGCTTGCACCCTGTCTGACTTCCTCTGCTCTCCTTGCTCTGCCAGTCTGCATTGGGCCATATCTCCATGTGTTCATACCAAACTTCATAAGACTTGCTTCTCCAGCTTTTTAGACCCCACTTTCCTTCAATTCTGTGCCTCCACCCTCAGTTATCTTCGCTGTGCAGTTGAGCCTCCAGATCGCTGCTCCCTAGATAAACTCTAAGTCTGCATCTATCTCCTTAGACGTCTGATTAGCGCTACGTCATTGAAAGGGGTAGTAATCCGGGTCTGGGCCCAGGAATAGAGCCCAGGGAGGAGCCAGGCTACTGGAGAGAGACGCTGCCGAGCCACCATGCATGTGCCTCTGGGTAATCTCTTCTTAAATAGCCTTTGGCTGGGGAAAGAGGGAGGGAGGACCGTAGGGGAGGGAACACCATGGGAGCAGGTCCAGTCAGTGTCCTCTTATCCGACACTCAGGACCCAGGGACACATCAAAGCCAGAGAGGAGAGGGATCTAGATACAGAGACGTGTTGGACCGTATAGGACAGCCCTTTGACCAGGATGAACTTTGCAGCGCAGTTTTTCTACTCCAACTACCTGAGTGAGCGACTTGAGCGTCTATTTTCACCGAGACCTTCACTCAAAGACAGCGAGGAGAATGACCCCTTCTGGGAGAGGTGGGAAAATACAACACGTCCTTGTCTGGATCCTTCCAACCTCCCCCCTCCTCTACCTGGCCCTGTAACTAAGGATTTACCCGGTGCTATGAGATCGGAAATTGATTCCTTCTCCTCAGCCTCTGTTTCCCTTTCTGCAAGTACCTCAATTCCCACTCCTCATCATCCTTTTGTTTTCCTGCCTCTTCAAAGTAACACACCTTCAAATCTCCACTGTCTTCCCCTGCCTCCTCCTCCTTCTCCTTCTCCTCCTCCTCCTCCTCCTCCCAGTCCTCACCCTAATCACATAAAGAAATTATCACAGCCAGCTACCAGTCATCCACATCTATGTTTGGCCTCTGCTGTCCCTGCATCAAAGAACGTTCACCAACTCCCCTCCAACATTTCTCCCCAGATGGTTCTTCCACAACCTTCCTCTTCCTCCTCGTCCCTCTGCGTGTCTTCTTCCTCCTCTTTTTCACCTCCTGCCTCGCATAGAGAAGAACTGTTCCCACCTTTTGAAGCTCTGGTAGACTTGCTCCTTCGCTTTGTCCTCTACCTTTTTCTTCTCTTTGTCCCCAGGTAACTCTCCCAGATTCAAAGAATATGTTATTGAGTATAGTACTGTAAAATTGAAATAAGTAACAACCAGGGTCTGAGAGGGGTTTCAAGTGTTTCCTCTTATAGCAGATGCAAGCATTTTAGACAGACACAACTTCAGTCTTGATAAGAAATCTTCAAATGCTCAAAATAAAACCTTCCTGAGATAGTTTTGTCAGACAGATTTGCAATAACCAACAATATTTAGACTAAGCATCATTTCTTCTGCTCTTATACAAAGATTTGCAAAAGCCTCTCATCTGAATTTTTTAATATAATAAGAGAGCTGTTGTCAAACAGCATGCTGAGACAGACTACTTTTGGCTAAATCTAACCAAAATAACCATCTGTACCTAATCCTAACTCTGTCGTGTTGTTTTCTGATGCCTAAACCTGACTACAGACGAGGGACTCTTGTGCAAAAGTTTGCTTCAAAATTCACTTCAAAAACCATTGTTCATGAACATAGTCCAGGCAGAGATTTTGTTGTATCCACAATGCCAATCAAAAAGCATTGTAAGTTGGATTGTAAATTCTGGGAGACATAGTTTGGCAAGAAAGTTAAGAAACCCAAACCTTAAAGATGCTGTGTTGCACCTTAAACATGGAAAAATGAACACCCAAGGATATGTGGTATGCAAGGATACAGTCTCCTTTAACAAATAAAGGTTTTTTTCATTGGTAAATGAAGCGCTGCAGCAGCCAGTCGGGACATTTGGTCTTTAAAAGACCATTAAGGAGCTAAGAGAGAGCTATGATGAACGCCTGCTGGGCTGAAATGTCTCCTTCACTTTCTGCCCAGTCCTCACTTTGATCAAATTTAAATGAAGACGATCATTTTCTTTTACCATCGCAGCTCTTTTCAGGAGGCTTTTGACCCTCCAGACTTGCTGCCTTTTTTGTTTCTTAAACACTGATTTTGAACTCTGCTCATGAGACATCTCAGTCACAGTGGTAGTCTTGGACATCCTTTAACACAGCTGTGTTTAAAGCAAACTATTTGTCTGGGACAGAGGGCTGCAATAAACCCCCTGGCATGAGGTGAAAGGTCACTGTATTGTTTATAGGAGGTGATTGTGATATAAATAGAGTTGAATGTTTCTTGCAGAGGGCTGGGACAGAGTATTGTTTAGGTGAACTACTCCCCCTGGTGGTCTTTAAACATTTCAAACATAAATCTCATTAAAGTAACTCTATCTTTAAAGATTTTTTTTAATTCTTCCTGAGATGCTCTGAACCATCAGATAGCAGCAAACAACACAGATTGGTCAGGATTTAACACACATTTTTTTTCCCGTAGAGTAGATTTAAATATTGACCTCTCATTTCTGCTTATTCAAGGAGTCAAACTCAACCATTAACCATTTCTGATCCGCTTTAACAGCTAACTGACAGGGTTAAACTCCAAAGAATTTAATCCTATTATCATATTTATACAGTGTTAAGGACCTCCTTAACTACTCAGTAAGGAAAACCGTCATTATCAGGTCTGGTGTTAAACCTGCACAGACCTCAATGACAGTTATCGAAAGTACTGGTGGTTCTCCACCCTAAAAGCACCCATAAATCAGTGCTAATCATTCAGTAAATCTGAGTTACCGTATAATCCAGACAATTCTCAAGAGCTGGCACTCAGATATTGGAAACCACTGGACCAGATGATTAATAAGACCTTTTTTTTTTTTTTATGCAAAGATGTTTTTATTTTTCATAAATGGTATAGTCACATCTAAAAAATAAGTATTACTTTAAACCCACCGGAAATGCTTTCTCTTTATTGCTTAAGCAGAAGTGAAAAACTAGCTCCAGAAAAGTTCACACAGTTTGATTGTGGACTTTATGAAACATAGTCACTACTATATCACCCACTTTGCCATTGCTGTCTTTAAATCCACTAATGTCGCCATGTTGGAAATGCTGACCCATCCAAACTCTCCGACAGCCTAATAAGAGACGGCGAAGTGGAGTCAATGCAGGGTTTTATTTGAGTCCTACAGTCTATGGTCCTAACCTTTATCCTAATGGATGTGTTGAGGTGATGACATCAAAATGGATGTACTTAGATAATTTACCCCCACCCCCATGCCACTTGTGTGTGGAAGGAGAAATGATCTACACAGATCAAAACCCTTTTTATTTTTCGTACCTGCTATAAACAAGTGAAATAAACATTTGTTTTAAAGATATTAAAGTCCCCAGTTTGGTGAATCTGAGAAATGGCTGACCGCACTGACAGACATGTACTCTGGAGTTGTTTGCAAAGAGGCTAAGAGCTCACCTCGACTACCCCTCTTTGCCTCACAGCAGGTCATCTGAAAGTTAGATTGAGTAAGTGTTTCCACTATAACAGCCGTCACCAATGGGCTCAGCTTCAGAAACTACTGGGTGACCTCACAAACTATGTTCCTGTGTTAAAGGGTTTAAATGTGCCTCGTGCTTCCTGCCAGCCTTACAGTTGAACATGCTTGTAGGGATGCAGCCTCTGCAGATGTTAAACCCTCTGCCTGGCTCATAGACATCCATGAAAAAAGTCAGTTATTCTGGAGCCAACAACAGTTATCACAGAATAAGACAAACTAAAGAAGTCATCTGAGGTGTGAGTTATTGAATTAAAGAAGAGCTTTTGAACTTTTCGACTGACTTGTACAGTTATATTTTATCGGTGCCTCTGTGCTGATCAGCCATAAATCAAACTGTCCTGCCTTCGGACTTACATTACCACTTTAATCATTTTTTCATCCAAAATCTTTGGGTTTGAATAACCCAATAAATCATAAATTGACACAGAAATGTAAGCTGTCTTGGTGAGTGGGAGCTGTGTAGACATGAGAGGTGAATACATTAATCTCAGACTGAAAGGGATTGCATGGAGGCGCCTTTGTGTCAAGCCTGAGGTCTGTTCAATTTCAATTCACTATTTTCTACAAAACTGTGGAAATTTTTCACTTAAACGTACAGTGTGTGGTAATACGTCTCACTTTGCAGAACAAACTTAGTAGAAATGGAGTAACCATTTTATGTTTATAACAGTATGATCACCTTAATATACAAACAGATTTGTTGTTGTTTACTTGTAATGCTTTGTAACGGGACAGAGGCTCTTCCACAGAAGCTGCCATCTGGCATCCAGTAACTTCTGGAAACGTATTGGTTGAAAGACTAAGAAGCAGAGGGAAAAATGGACAGGGGGACAAATAATTTGTGTAAAAAAGAGTTTTGATGGTAAAAACTTGACACATGGAGGATCTTTATTGTTGGCAGCAGCTTCTTGTCCTGGAAGGGTACCATTACCTAAGTATAACAGGGTGAAAGAGGGAGTGTTTGAATCACAAAAACTGGCAAGTTATCCCAAAATGTTTTCATTTCTTCTCTCTGCACTTTTGGCCTTTTGAAGAACTACAAAAACAAACAAGACTATCAACAACAACACTTACGATGTTGTCATTTTTAATACTTTTAAGTACCATTTAAGGGTATGTTTCAGACTATTTACAGAGCACAAAGGAAATGCCTTGTTTTAAAAATTACCTGACAAATATTGAATGATGCATTTCACTGGTAAAAGAAAGCAGGTGAAGGTTTTGTTGTTAGTAAGGTGATTTGCATTTACATGGGACAAAATGAGCCAAGATATTTGAGACTCGTCCAGAGGGGGTGCCAAAATCAACACAAACAGAAGTCCTTGCAAGACCCTTTAACCCAGTGGTTTTCAATCCAGTCCTCAAGGCCCACTGTCCTGCATGTTTTGGACGTTTTCCTGCTCCAACACACCTGATTCAAATGATCAGCTCGTTATCAAGCTCTGGAATGGCTTAATAACGAGCTGATCATTTGAATCAGGTGTGTTGGAGCAGGGAAACATCCAAAACATGCAGGACAGTGAGCCACGAGGACTGGATTGAGAACCACTGCTTTAACCACAGTAGTGGCCTCAAGCTTGATTTTGGTCCTCCCTTCTTGGTGTCCCCGTTTTTAATGTTTATCTAACCCATTGCCAGCTGACTCTTCACTGGTGTAAGATTATAACATACATAAAATATGAGGTATTTATAGAGCTTTGGATGAAGATGCCCAAAAACAGGCCTCTAAAAAAAGTCTTTCCTTCCTGATATGACAACTGTTGATGTCAAAACTTAAATGTAACGTAAGTAAGCTTTCGAATTATTTTGGCTTACTGTGTGATACTTACACCTGTGTTGATAAGAAAGTATCATTTTGAACAGAAAAGTCTTACCACCACACTAAAATTATTGATAAAGGCAATATTAGACCAGCCTCACCCTTAAACTGTGAGGTATAAAAATGTTCTTATGTTGAGAAAAGCCCTTTTCATTTTTCACACACAAAATTCTATCAAATGTGTCAGACTCTTGTAATAAGAATCCGGGCCTGTCAGTCCCAAATATAAAACCTTCTAAGTGGATGGACTTTGATGAGGATGATTTTCCTCATGGATTCAGCTTCTGTTTGACATCAAACTGGAACGATTCCCAGACTTTTGAAGCTATGGGTCATTTGGATGCTGTTGTACATAAAAATAGGGTCAAGGTTAAAAAAAACACCTGGAATCCTTTTAAATCCTGTATTGCTTCCTCCTTAATCTCATCCATGCGATTAAGAAATTTGACGTAACATCTGTCTGTTGTGTTGTTCTTCAGAGAGGAGCTGTGTCTGGGTTCCACTCAGTCCGGAGCCTGTTTTAAACCCTTCAGTAATGGCGCCGCAGGCCGCAGACCCACCCTCATTGAACCTGAGCGCCTGAAGGACTTTGGTGAAGAAGAGCTCCTCAATGGGGACGTGAAGGTCCATGAAACCATTGTATCAGGGAGTCCTGAGTTTGTGCTCATGGAGCCTCCAAAAACCAGACGAGTCAGTGAGTTCAGGATCCTCCCCAGACAGGTCCCCGAGTTTCTCCGCTTTGAAGACATCAGCGCTGCAGCCTTCAGGATCCAGGCAGGAATACAGAAGACGCCCTGCACGGTACACAAGCTTAGCATGAGCCATTAGAGAGTGAATGAATGTGGAAAAGATAAAAATATTGAAACATATCCTGAAACACATAAAAAATTACATTGACCTACTCCCAGAAGTGGGATTTTTGTGACATAGAGGCTGCTATTTACACCCCATGACCTCGCAGTGAGCTGGCAGCACCCATGACCTCAGTCTCAGAGTACCTCTCACCAGAGATTATTCTCTTTTCGGAAAGTCCTGTGACACTTATGCTACTCTTAGCAGAGGGTTTAGCCTGTTTTCAAAAGCTGCGTATGCTATATGTTAGCTTACTTGATGGTGCTCACAAAAGAACACGGAAAATAATTATTAGAAATCTTGACATAGCATTAGCAGTAGCTCTAAACCTGGTGGTTATCTCTACACCACATGAGCTCGCTAACAATATGAAGTTAAGGATGGACTTCCTCTCCACAAGGACAAAGTACAAACTCCTTCTTAAGCACTGGTAAAAGACCAAAAAGCTCAGATTCAAGCTGAATTTGAAAAAGTGAAGTTGTGACTTTTTTGTGTCCTGTAGACTCTGATAGGACGATTGCCACAATGATGTCATGGTATTAGCTGGAAATAAAAAGAGGCGGTGCGAGTGTCTTAAAATTTGGATAGAAAAATAGAAAGAGTGACAATAGTCTCAAAATTGAAAATGTGGCGCCACTGCCCGCTGAAAAGAACAAGAACTGTGACTAAACATGACAGAAAAGGTCCGCAGGCAGGGGATAGACATTATGCTAGCTTGTGCTGCACAGTCCTCATTTAGCTAACCTTTATTTACAGTTGTGTGGATTGATGTCATACTTAAAAGATTTCCTTTAACCTCTAATCAGAAAATAGAGACGCATTAAGAGAACTATTGGATTTATCTGTGGCACTAACTCTTTTAGAAAATGAGCTAACATTAGCATTGTACATCTACATTTAGCTAACGTTGGAACAAGACAAGATAACTTGCTCAAAAGAAATATTTGCCTTCAGTTAAGCCCCACCCATCATAAAAATAGTTCACCATCTTTTCATATTCTGTTTCTTAACCCAGAGAGGGTCTCTACCAGATGATATTAGTATCAGATACACACTCGCCAGAGCTGGTTTTAAATCCCTGCTTGTGTTTTGTTTGTGAATTTTTGCAGTACTCCAGACTGTCCAAACAGTACGGCATGGAAATCTACCTGAAGAAGGAGCACCTGCACTACACAGGTTCTGTGAAGGAGAGAGGAGTCCTGTACCTGCTCGCCTCTCTGACACAGGTGAGACAGAGGGGGGTGACTGCTTCCTGTCAGGTAAAAGCTGCTGTATAACTAGAGTGTGTCCCATTGACTGAAGTGAGTCAGAATCCTCCCAGACAACTCAAATGACTTTCAATCATTATTGACGTAACAAAAGAGTTTGATTATTTGGGGTTTCTTACAAACTTTTTGGTTCAAGTTTGATATGTTTGGACGACTGGTGATGGGTCCAAAAAAAATAAAAGTAGTCTGCTGTGAAGAGCTTCTGCAACATCCATCTGATGGACTAAGACTAAACTTGCTAATCTGCTAGTAACTTTTAGGAAAACCTTTGACAGATACAGGGAAATAGACACACTGTTTTCTTGAGGTGAATTTGTATTTTTTCCAGGAGCAGCAGAGAAAGGGGGTGATCGTGGCCACCGACTGTAACTTCTCCATGGCTGTGGCTCATCATGCCGTGGAGCTGAAGATCCCTGTGTTCGTCATCATGCCGTCATGCTGCTCCTCGCCTCGCCTCAGGATCTACAGAGATTATGGTGCTATGGTCATCTCCTACGGCAGCACCGGGCCCGACTCCCAGAAACACGCCCGCCACCTGGCCACAGAGAATGGATACCTGTACCTGGAAGAGTCAGTCCCACTTATACTTTTACTTTTCACATGGGTCGAGTTATCCCTTTTCTGACAGTGATATAGAACGACAAGGAACATTGGTACCAACATAAGATTTAACTATCTCTGAAATTTCAGAATAAAGTTGTAATTTGGATTTCAACCTTCTTGCGAGGTGCCTGAGGTAAAACAACAGCCTTCAACTGTAGTGTATAAGTATGAGGTAAAGTCCAGTGTCAATGATTAGACAAAAAGATACACCACTTTCATACGGTAGTAACTTCCATGTCCATTACTTACATTTGAGTGAAAGAGACTCTAATTTTACAAAAGATATCAGCTGTGAGACTCCCTTGAAGTCGTGCCATAACAAATAATTTTTATGGATTTTGCATGAAAATGAAGGATCCATGCTTGAAGAAATTTGGTTCTTTAAGTGATATGGTTTCCATCCGTTTGTAGGATTTATAGTATTGACCAATCACATATGGGAAGGTTTTGATGTTTGCTGGAAAAGCTGTCCACATAGAGAGATATGGCAAAAGCAATCCATGGACTGATGGCAGTTTATTTATCTCTATTTACAGATATCTGAATGTGAGTGCAGCAAACAATCTATCTTAAATGAAGATAAACAACATGAGCTTTCAACCTGTTTGACCATATGGTGCAAATTAAAATCATTAAATACATTTCCTGGCCTCCTGGAACGTATCAGAAATGTTTGATCTGGCCTTCGCTAAATGAACAAACTGCAACACTCACAATAAACAAGGTGAAGTGTAGGGCGAACAGTTGTCTGTGTAACTCTACCCACTTTAAACTTCACAGTACACAGAACACCACAGTTTTCAGAGAATAAAGTAAAGCCAGCACAGTTAAGTCAGTAATGGAAAGTCTTCCTGGTGTGATTTCCCTTTTTTGCATCCTAAACATCATTTAATGTCTGGATAGATACTTAAGACAGTGAGTAAAATTGAGGTGAAGTTGTGACTTGTCTGACAACTGATATCTTTGCATGTAAAATAGTACATTTTAATAAATTCATTGTGAAATATATTATAAAGAAAGTGAGCATTAGACATTTCCTCACAGCTTTCCTGCATAAAAAATATATAAATTAAAAAAGGATTTTCTCGAGATCTTTTACGAGAGCAGAAAATGAGTTCAAAATAAAATTCAATGTACCCTTCCCCTGGCTGCGTACGTTCCAATATTTTTGTTGAATTGACCCAAAGTAATACTGACCAATAACTCCCGAGACAACATTTGCGAGATCTCGCAAAAAATCTCAACAAAAGTTTTTTTTGGGTTTTTTTTTGTTTCTTCATGTCCCTTCAGGGGCTTCATAGCCCTGATACTGGGGCAGAGTGTTTTTTATACCGCTGATTCACTGTAGTTTTTACATTCACTATTTATATTCAGTAAGTTTAGAAGGTGTTGCACAGTGGGTCAAATCTAGCTGCTGTTATGGAATCTTGTAAATAAAACTATAATCATACCACATTTTTGCATTGTTTTCTAGAGCACATGAAATCATATAAAGCCTCATCTTGTTCTCACTGTGTATTTTTGTTTTTGTCCAGGAATGAGAGCGCAGTTTACATTGCAGGCCTGGGCACGGTAGGCATGGAGATCTATGAGCAAGTTCCCAAAGTGGACGCAGTGATTGTTCCTGCAGCCGGGCAGTACGGTCTACTGACCGGCACAGCTGCTGCCATCAAACACCTCAACTCTAAAACACTTGTCATAGTGAGTACAACACCAAAAATTTGACTTTAGCTGTCTCAAGCAATATCTACAACTAGGGTACCATTCTCAACACCATAAAACATTGTGATACTCCATTTCGGCACTATGCAGATGACACCCTTATATCCTTAAAGCTATTTGGGTTGCTCATTTAATTTCACTAGAAATTCCTAGCTGTACTACAGGGTGAATAGCCAAACCACTTCTGAGGCTTAACTCTTTCAAAACACTAACCCTAAAATAGACTTTGGCTTGAGTGGCACTGTGAGCAACTTCTGTCTGCTCTTGGCAGTCCATCTCAACATGTTGTACCTACTGCTGAGACCAGTCAGCACAACATGGAGTTATTTTGGTGTTGATCCTCATGGGGGTGCTGAAAAAACTCCTGATTAACTCTTTTCCAAAAACTGTTAACAGTCATAGATTATTATTTAATGTGTTTTTAGTAGGTAATATGTAAAGTCAAGTAAAGCAGAATAGATTTCAAGTAATCTGACTTTCTCTGACAGGGAGTTGAACCTGAAAGTTTCCCTCTGCTGCTACAATCTCTGAAAACTGACAGTCCAGTCAGAGACATGCACAGCAGCCTCAACAGGAAACTCTACGGAGGTAAACATTTTAGTTGGCTCTGGTTCCAAACATGTGCTCTCAGATCTAAATGAATCATTATTTACACATAGTTCTGTTTACAGCTCACGTTGCTATATTAATCACTCTATTGCAGTAAATTAATATATTTATGTTGTGTCTGGTGTCAGATCTTGTGGAGCGTTCACTTGGGGAAAACACCTTCCAGCTGGCAAAGAAACTAGTAGATAGAGTCATCTCTGTAAGGTACTACATCTTCTCATCTCTACCTACAAATTCAGATTGTCAAATCCTATTCCTAATCCTAATTGATTAAAGTGTCAGCTAAAGAACTTAAGGTTGCTATGCAGAAGTAGATCATTTTGGACCAAATGTAGTTGTATGAAACTTGAATGTGAAGAAACCCTGGCAAGACTGTTCTTACTTTGTGTTTTTATGTCACAGTGAGGAAGACTGCTTAGTTGCCATGCTACGGTTTCAAGAGTTTGAACGTTCCACAGTGGACACAGAGGGATCCATGGGACTGGCGGCCATCTTGGCTGGGCAACTACCAGAGCTTAGAGGCAAAAAGTGAGTCATGGTTTGAAGTAAAGGAGTCCTCATACTGTTTTTGAATGGATGTTTGATATTGCACACCGTCCCTTCAAATATTAAGTAGTCAGACAGTCAGTCAGTTAGTTAATGAACAGATAAGTACTCTAAATTAATTGAATAGAAGTCTGACGAGGAGTGATGTAAGACTGATGTTCAGGCAAAAGAGCAAAGTCAGCAGAGTTCATCTGTTTGACCTCTGGTGAACCTTTATGTGTGTTTGTGTGTGTGTTGCAGGGTTGCTGTAGTGGTGAGTAGTGCTAACATGGATCTGGAGCTGGTCCGGCAGTGTGTGGACCGGGCTCTGGTGCTGGACGATCGGGTTAGTAAATTCTCGGTGCAACTGGGAGAATGGCCAGGAGACATGGCTAAGCTGCTGGACTTCCTGTCCAGAGAGGACGTCAGGTATGCTCAGCTGCGGGCCATTTAGAGATCTTTGCCTTGTAAAGGTTCAATCCGTTCTATGTTTAATGGTCCTTTAATTCTTAACTCTGTTCCGTTACTCTCAGGTTGTTGGATGTCTGCCATCGGAGGCAAGGTGACAAGACAGACCTGTTCAAAGCAAAGGTAGGAAACTAATCTCCCCTCTGCACCTGGTACTTTTTGTCTCCTGACTTTGGTCTGCTTGTGTACTTTCCAGTACAATGAAAGTTGAGACTTTGAGATAGACGGCCAAAGTTTGTGTGACTTCCACTAGGTTTGGATTAGGTGTCACTGTACCTTGTACAAGTTTGGCTTTAGTGATGCTTGTGTGATTTTGTGTTAATTAAACCCAAGTTCACCTTTCAACATGAGCCAGAAACACTAGAAGCTGTGTGTGTTTACAAGACCACTTTTGTTTTCTGACTAACTATAGATATGCTCATGCATTTTATATCCTCTTGGCGGACATTTTGCAGATACTTGTTTACTGTCTCTCTTGGCTTGAGATGATAAGTCAACATGGCTGTGTGAATCTGGTTGGAAAATGAAACAAGAGTTCTTTCTGACAAGATGATTAAAACCAAATAAATCCACATAAAAAATACTTGACCTCCACCTCCATTTTTGGGTCCTGCTGCCGGGATGTCATGTTACTAAAACTACGATCCGTGTCTTGGGTGTCTAAACACTGGATCAGAATAGATTATGCCGCATGTGAAAGGAAGACACAGAATTTTCCATTGGAAAGACTCTTTGAATCTAAAGATGTGTTTAGACCACAGGAACTTTCCATGGAGCCAGGGACCTCACCCTGAAACTCTGTGAGTGTTTCTACTGCAGGAACAAGGGTCTAAATTTAGTTCTGGGTTAGATTAGATTTACCTCTTGATTTACTTTTTCATGGCCCAGGGACTTTTAAAGGCAGGGCCTGACAACTTCATTTACATTCTAAAAAACTAAAAAAACAGGTTGTTAATTAACATATAAAACATTGGCAGCACAGACACAGATGCAGGAAGAGGGACGGTAGATCATATCCCACATAACCTAAAGTAATCTGAACACTAAAACTATGTAAATTTGTGAATTTTGACTCTGTTCATGGACATTTTTTTCCCCATCTTTGGAGGTGCTTTTGGGTGTTTTTACAGCTTCAGGTGTTATCAGGAAACAATCTTCTTTACACTATAAGCTGATATCCAATTTACAAAGAGATAACAGACAGGAGCCAAAGGGAAACAGCACAGAAGCATATATTTCCAGTTACCTGATGTTGTTCAATACAGATTACAGCTGCCAATGTGATTTCTGACATCTATGTGTTAGAAAATTAAAATAATTGAGACTCCAATAAAGAGCTGTGCAAGTAACTCCATTTCCAATTGCCATTCCTGGATGTTATTGGCCTGACTAACATTATCTACCCTGAACTTAAGGCTGCTGGTGGAAACGCAGACAACAATGAGCCACTGGAACTATTTAGATTCTTGAAGAGAAGACTCTGAACTAAAAGCTGTAGGTACACTTAGTAAAAAAAAAAAAACACTAGATAGGAAACAGTGGTTATGTAAAACCACCTAGTGTTATGTCTGGGGTCATAACACCATCCAGAGAGGCCAGTCTTGAAACCCACCGGCTAACATTTGACAATGATTAAGCTTCTTGAAGTTCACAGCCAACTTTAAAAGCTTACAGTGCAGCTAAAGGTTAGTGATACTTGTCCCATCAGCAGCTTAAGATGCAGGAATGGAGTTGGTATGAAGAGGCGATTGCCCTTTTTATACTGCCACTTCAAAGCACAACATTTATATCTCAGTAATGCCTTGCCCTCAATGTAAGAGTCACAGATATGTAGTAGTGAGACCAAGTTACCCCTCCATGGTGCCAGCACTTTACAGAGTGGCATAGGCAAGACAAGATCACAGTGGGACCTTTGCGTTGCTTTGCACAGTAAAAGAACAAAGATGTGTTTTAGCTACATTATGGTTGAATTGCCAAAAACACTAATAAGACAGCCATAGTCTAAAAACAGACTACTAGCTACACTTGCACAGACTTTGCTATTTGTAACCTTTAATTAAACCATAACCACGTCCTTTTGCTGACCAACAATAAGTTGCTGTTTGCATTACAGCTGATGAGCTCCACCTCTGTGGCTACAACTTGGTGAATCACTACCATAATAGTGACTCAGCAGGTTCATGGTTTGACTTTAAACACACGACAGCATGAATTCAAACCAAAACCTGTATAACCTCTCTACGGATAAGAACATGAACCCCCAAATGCAATCTCTTTTCACCAACATCATCCAGTGGAGCACACTGCATTGATGTCAAGGCCAACCTAAGCTGTCGACTAAGTGAGGGATAACAGTGAGCAGGTGATTATGTGACAAAGAATCTCTACAGGATGAGACTAATGAGATCAATTAACATAACTGACTTTAAACTTTGTATTTTCATTCACAGTAACATCTTGTTAGTGGCCTGCTTTAATGTTAAAAAATCACTTCAAAATCTTGTTATTCAGAATCAATAATCTGATATGACGTTTTGACCAATCAGAATCAAGTATTTACTCCAGCCAAGGAATGAATAAGAAAGCTTGGTAATGATCGTCACCAAAGGTCCAATTCTGCCCTGAAATATGGAAAAAAAATTGTCTATTTGAAAGTTCCTGTTTATATGCAGCTTTTTATAGCAACTAAAACACTTAAAAGTAAATATCAACATTTACAATTACGCTCAGTCAATTCCAAGTCAGAGTTTGAGTCTCAGAGTTGTCCTTGCAGTTAACACTTTTTGTGTTAAAGGTTAAAGCGACTGCATGTTTAATTTCTCTGCTGTTTCTGTGTGTGTTCGCACTGACAGGTGGAGTGTGTGGTGGAAACCAGGGATAGGACACAGAGCGCTCAGCTGCGAAAGACGCTAGGTGAGCGCTACCCGTCTGTTTGCTGGCTGGACCGATGATATCAACGACAAAATGAACACAAACTGATGAAACAGGGAGAAGAAGGGGAGAAACTGACACAGTCATAAAATGTGCAATTACACGCAAACATCCTCTAAGATGCACATCTGTTATTTATGACCTCTGTTTAATGGATCTCATTATCTCATTACAACAACTGCTGTTAGCCAGACTTATGTGTGTAAAGACACGCCTTGAGATTATAGACTCTTTGTATTATTTGTTAATTACACTGTTTTTTCAGCAATACCAGACGAGAGGGAATGCTGAATGTACAAACCCTAATCCCAAAGAAGCTGGGACATTGCGTAAGACCAGGATATAATGATTTGCAAATCTGTTTCCACTGATATTTAATTCAATATACCACAAAGACAAGATATATAATGTTCAAACTAAAAAACTTAATTGTTTTTTGCAAATATTCACTAATTTCTAAATTCACTTATTGCCTGCAGCATGCCCCCATAAAGCTGGGACAGGGTCATGTATACTGCTGTGTTACATCACCTTTCCCTTTAACAACACTCAGGAGGCCTTTGTGAGGCTAACTGAGGATACCAATGGTTGACACTTTGGAGAAGAAGTCTTTCCCATTCTTGCTTGATGTTTGACTTCAGTTTCTCAATAGTCGGGGGTCTCTGTTGCCATATTGTGTGCTTTAAAACGCATCACACAGACTTGTCTTCTATAGGAGACAGGTCTGGACTGCAGGCAGGCCAGTCTAGTACCCCCTCTCTTTCCCTATGAAGTGGGTTTGAACTTGCACTTGTAGACGTGGAGACAAACTGTGTTAACTGACAATGGTTTTCTGAAGTGCTTCTTAGCCCACGTGGTAATACCCTTTACAGGATGATGTAGGTTTGTAATGCAGCACTGCCCCAGAGGTCAAAGGTCACGGGCATTCAGCCTTGCAGGCGATATATAGAAATTTCTCTGGATTCTCTGAATCTTTAGATGATATTATAGACTGTAGATGTTCTTAAACTGTTGGACTGTGTGCTCATGTAGTTGTTTACAAAGTGGTGAACCTGGCCCCATCCTTGCTTGTGAATGACTGAGCCTTTTAGGGACACTCCTTTGTGTGACACTCACCTGTTTCCAATGAACCTGTTCATTTGTGGGATGATCCAAACAGGTGTTTTTGAACAGTCCTCATTTTTCCCAGACTTTTGTTGACCCTGTCCCAACTTTTTGGAACATATTGCAGCATCAAATTCAAAATGAGTGAATATTTACAGAAAAATAAATCAAGTATATCAGTTTGAACATATTGTATTTGTAGTGTATTCCACTGAATATTGACGTAACAGGATTTGCAAATCACTGTATTCTTTTTTCTATTCCTGTTTTACACAATTTCCCAACTTCATAGGATTGGGCCTTGTACTTCATACCATATGACTGACATTTTCTGTATATACATATAACAACACAATCTCCAGAGGAATATTGCTCTCAGACTGCATTTCTACAAGGTGCACGCAGCATAAATAAACACAGAAATAAGCGACAACAGATGATTAGTTTGTGTAAATGTAGTCATACGTTTTGCTCCACCAACACTACTTCTACCACATCTTGACTTGAACTGAACTGTTGCCAAGCAACACTTAAAAATGTGCTTTTGTGTCATAAATGTTTATCTGTATCTGTCGATTTTATTGTGCAACCGATGAAATATGAGTCTGCTGACAGTGTTTTTGTTGGCCTATGACTGTGTGTTGTAACATTAGCTACAACTACTAATAACACCTGACACAAAGTGATTCATCTAGTTCAAGTGCTGTTGTACTCTGTATTAGTGCTCTTGAAATGCCTCCTGTCCAATCAAATCACTTGGTCTGAACTAACTGTGGTATAATGTTCTTTAAACATGGAGCCCTATCATTAGAGTACAGATGTATTCAGTTTTGATGGTTTAATCACAGTGAGAGAATCCGGTTCACACCACAAACCTCCCCAAATAACCAGAAATAAAGATCTATTTTTCACTTTGCATTATTTTTAAATTGCTGTAAATATTTCTGTATATACCATCTCTGAGCTAGTAGGGTCAATCCAAGTGTGTGTTCTGCAAATAAAATGTTTAATACCCATCTGTTTTTTGATGTTTGGAGAAAAAGTAGGGGAGAAAATTTTTTTTCCAATTGATGGTTTGTGTATTTTCCCAAGAGTACAAACGAAACAAAGCGCTTAAGTGAGTTACATCCTAGCCACCCATCCCTGCTTAATGACTGGAGACAGCTCTGGTGGAGACTGGGAGGTTTAAGACAGGCTAATGCTCTTAAGTTCATAAGGAGAGGACATCATGACCCATAGCTGCTAGTTCAGCCTCGACTGGACATGTAAAGTCAACACCTTCTAGTGCAAGAAGACTGCAGCTAAGCAACATTAAAGTATGATGCAAAAGACCAAAGTTTCCTGGATTGGGAGCCAGGACTACTCACACTATATTCCCACTACAACTATGTACAGCTTTTGCTTTGCAGCTTCTAACTGAATGAAAAATTTGAACGTCTGTTTTCCACTTGTGAATTTTAGTTTTTTTTTCCAATCAAATCAACCCTTTTTTTGGTCATTGTTCATAGTGTAGGGGAGTTTTGCACAATTAAAAGTGTGGCATCTTTGAGAAACAGGTAAAGTTACAACGCAGACACTTTCACTGCACTTTGTTAAGTCACTTTTTTATTTTGCAGCATTATTCTTAAGAACTTCCAGTCCATAGTCTAAAATTCAAAATCACAGCAAAGGAAAGGCGAATGAGAGTTTCTAATACACACAGCTGCACACACACTAGTGCTGGTGGATTGTACCATCTGTAGATAAGCTCTTCTGTGTTTTGTTTATTACAGCAGCTGAGAAAATATCTGTACTGCCATCAGACAGGCTGATTGTAAACATTATGAGAGTACAAAACCGTTTTAGAAAAGATTCTTCCTCCACTGCACTTAATACTCAGCTCAGCACAAATGCTTCAATCTCCAAACTTATATTATTTATTCTAATATTACTACCTTTAAAAAAATTACAGTACAGTTAAAACAATTCTCCTTCTTATGGTTAGAAAATCTCTGGAATGAAATAAAGGACATGCACATGAGTGCAGGAAGTAGTAAACATGGAAAAAGTAAATAATATATTTTTCACTTCAAATCTTCCTTGTTAGACAAAACATTCAGGCATCCTCCTCCACCTGTCCTCTTTGCAGGACTGCATATCAAAGAGGCACTAGTCGGAGGACGCTGAAGGCAGCGTTGATTTTCTGGGTCCAGCTTGTGTTGTTCTCTCAGCTCCTAGTGATGCCCTCAGTGCTGTTTGGGACGCTCAGGATCATATTTGAGGAGAAGGCCGAGAGAGGCGAACCCGAAAAGAAAGGTCTGGACGAACCAAAGGCAGCGAGTGGATGCGTTGGTGACGCCTTTGTTACTGCAGAGCACAGAAATCGAACAGTGAAGAAAAGGAAAGACAGAAGCTGCTATGATTCTATGATTTATTTTTTGAGAGAAAACCTGAAATAAAAAACCTGAAAATTCAATATTAATAGACACATTTGCTTAGAAGTGAATGAAATAATTTATGAAAATTTTGCTTTACAGAATGCAGGAGTTTCTGATTTTTCTGTATTACTTTTTAGGGTTTTTTTTAGTTTTTTTTAGGGTTTCAAACAATGTTAAAATCAAATATATATATTTTTTTAGCTAAAAATATTGCTGTCAAAACTCATCTAAAAACATGAGGTTATACAGTATATGCCAGTATCAACTCAAGTTTTTGGTGAGGCAGAATTGCTAAATTTTCCAGTGGAGTCTGGTGGCTTTGGAGAAAATAAAGTTCTCTTGCTCTTAAACAAAGATCTTTCTTTGTGTAGTCCCATTCTCTGTTTTTTCAATTAGACTCTGAAAATAACTATCTGAGCCAGTCAGCAGAAAAAAACAGCAAGAAGTTTAAGAGTACACTCTTCAATCAGTGATCACAGCCATTGCAGCTTGTTGAAGCTGCAGGCTCAGGAAAGTAATGTCAAAAGTTCTGTTCTCCTCCATCATTTAGACCCAAACATACTGTAAGTCAGGGATTGACACCCAAACCGGGGCTCTTTTAAAACAGTTATTCTTAAAATGAACATCCTGCTGGTGCAGGCTGATTGTCTGCTGCTCATTTGAAACACATTGAGACTCCTCTGGTAAGAGTTCATATTTACTTTACGTATACCGCAAAGAGCAACACTCCAAAATTGTAAAAATGCCATGGGAAAATATTTTTTTATAGTTGTCATAAACTAATAATGTCCCGTATGATCGGTTTAAGGAGGTTTGTTTGTGCTGACATACTTTCAAAACTAGAGGGAGATATCCAACTTTTTGGAGACCCAGTTTTATATGAAGATGCTGTGGAGGACATGTCTATAAAAATTAAGGTTCTATCACCACCTAGTGGGCGACCGGTTTCATGCCATTCTTACCTGCACACCTTCAATGCCATAAAGGCCTCAAAAACATGGATGGCAAAGGCGGCCCACCACCTGAAACACACAGAGATGAGTCACAATCCAAAACAGTTCAAGAATAAAGAATCATCTGTGAGGAACTAAAAAATTATTTCAGATGGAGAACATGTTGAAACATCACGCAGTGTTTTTTTTTTTCTTGAGCAGAAGAACTAAGTGAAAGGAGTCACATGATGTCCTGAGACGGATCAACCACAGTGTTAAATCTTACTGACGAACAGTGAATGGTTCCTCCGGGGGTCGTCCTGTGTCACATGACTCCGATATCAACAAACCATCAGCCACTGATTACTGTGTGAAAACCAGGATGTCAACACGGCAGTCATGTGACCTGAACGACTAATAAACAAAGTGCTCTGACAGTGGATTTTTGTGGTAACGACCTGCGAATGAATTAAAGCCATTAAGAAGTGATTAAACAGTGTGAGGCTGTTTCAGCCACATGAGGCTGCTTTACGCCTCGTCATGTCCTCACTAGTTTTGTTTGCTGTTAAAAGAATCAGGGGAAGTTACAAACCTAGATTGAGCTTCAACATGTTTGGTGATATTTTAATTCATAAACATTTGTGGGATTCTTGTAGCTCTCATTCACCATTCAACTTATATTTTTGTTTGATTTGAGATTGTGTGTTTTATCAATTCATGTGTTCTTCATAATATTATTACAATTATAAGTCCACTCAGGTTCTTCCCTCACTCTTTTATTTCTTATCTAGTTCATTTATTCATATGTATTCATTTTGTTGTCTTTGGTTAAATCATTTTAACTCACCTCTGGTGTTTACTCAATATGAACTCAGGACAGTGTTTCCTCAGCTCACCACTTCCTATCTTCTTGTCCTTCTCAGTGTGTTTATTTTAAACTTTGCACAAATTTTAGGGGGATCATTTTAGGGACTTAATTGTTGTTCTTGATTTTCTGTCAGTGTAAAGCTACATTTTTGTTGTTGGAAAAGTGCTAAACAGATTTCAACTAGTTACTTGATTGATAATTTAAAAGACTTAAATCCAAGTCATTCATAAACATATTATCTCTTCAGCTTTAAAGCTCAAGTGAGAAGTTTTCTGCTGATCATGAAACAGACTGAAAATGACAATGATGTCCCTAAAAGAAGTTGGAACCAAAGCTGTAAGCCTGTTAGATGCCCTGATGCAGGATGGAGGTCAGACATGGAGATTTACAGGAAGATTGCAGAAAAAAAGCACTTGTAAAATGAGATAAAGATAGAAAAGATGTTTTTTAATCAGATAATTAGACATGACATCATCGTACAATGTTTTATCAATAGTAAGAAACCTTTTATTTATCTATTAACTGTGTTTCAACTATTATAAAGCATCCATATAATTTGTCATAAAGTACCTTTAGTTGCTGACCACCTAGAAGTCAGGAGTCATGTGGAATTTAACTCTTATAACAAGTCAGCTGTTACAACATTTCAATTTTGCCAATAGCAGTCACATGAAAACACATAAGTTAAAGTATGATTTCTTAACTCATAAACCGGGACCATGTGAATGTAGCATTAATCCTCAGGGATCAGCAAAAAAGCCATCACCAATTAGTTCCACACAGAAGCTTAAAAGGAGTCATCTTCTTTACTTTAGTGTTTAGAAACTAATAAATGCAACACTTTAATTCACATTAATATTAAAATGAAATCACGCCATCACATTTTCATAGACTGGACATGGTGATCATCAGAACTGCTTCAACTATGGCGAATTTGCTGCTGCTGCTGCTGAGAGATGTTCGCTTATATTCAGGGAGTGTGGAGAACCTCAAAAGTAGCACAACCATATGTCTCTCTGTACATCATTAAATGTTTGTTACAATATTTACAAAAATATGGCACAATATTACAGCATGTTTACTGTTCATTTAGTGCAGCTTTAGGGCTTTTTTAAATTTCATTTAGGGAATTTGACTTTTAGATGATCACGAGTCTCTTTTCATATAAAAAGCAAAGGAAATCAATTCAGTGGTTTGTTAATGTCATCAATCTGTTTTGGCTTCTCTTTAAAGCTTTTTTAAGAATAAATTAAAGAAAAAATATATATATAACCTTAATTTACAGTCTGTGTCCTTTTTAGTCAAAGGATGTGATCAACAAATACATTTCTCAAACAGGAGGAGCAGTGTTTCTTTTCACTCACCCTTTGTACATAATACCAGCATAGTTATCCACCAGGTATCTGCAGAAAGTGCCAAATGGACCAAGGTGCTGGAAGGGAATTACTTCTGGTGCAAATACAATGCACTTGAAGAACACAGACAGAAAGGTATAATGTTGACAAACTTTAAAAATACTAAAGTGTAATAAAACATTTAATAATCAGAGGAAAGATCATTCCATGGGTAATTCAGATTAAAGAGCTGAGTTCTAGAGATGACCAAATGCTTGACATTTCAGTGAATAAGAATACTGTCTGTGTTGATGATGACTGTGCAAAAATTTAGTGAACACATGCAGAGTGTAACAAGTATGACTGAATGCCAATGATCTGGTCTATTCAGATTTACATGATGGAAAAAGTTTCAATCAGACAAAGTACGAAAATGAAAATCAACATGACTCATATTTCCCAGCTCTTGGAAGGAAACACAAATGGCTCTTTGTAGATATTGAGAAATCTGATGTCCCACAAAGAGCAGCCTTGTCGCAACATTTGCCAGGAAAATTCAATTTGATGTGGTTCTGCGACTTACACTTGGTATGTGGAAACTAATTCATTAGACATGGTTAAAAGTTCTCAAACTAGGAATATTATTAATTCTAACATATTCTAAATTCAAATATATCAACCAAAGTACATATACTAAAAAAAACTATTCTGTAAATATATACGATACTATACTGAACTTTCAATATTCGTTTCAGCATTAAGACCACTGAAATACATGAATTTATTACACAACAGGTTACTGAACGCAGTTGTTTTAGGTAATCATGCACTATTGTGTCAAGCTGCTTTAGTCCTCCTGTGTCACCTGTGACAAGTAAGGTCAGTGCCTATGTGGACTATTACAAAAGGTTATTGTTGGAAGGGCCCCTCCATTAAAGAGCTGCACTTCACTTTAGGTTCACATGTCAGAAACACAAGCGAAACCTGAGTATCTGAGTCAACTACAAACAAAACAAACAAAAAAGCCCAACAAATAAATAGTTTACGCCAATTTAGAGTTCTCTTCTAAATATTTGAGCTTTTTTCTTTGTTTTCCTACACGAAGTCCGGTTGACGTTCGCAGTGTGTAACCTTTTCCCATTTGTCAGGGAGTTACGCCAAAGTCCATTTAGACTACTTATAATTATGCGTGCAGCCTCTTTACCTGGCCAATACATAGATTTTTGAAAAACAAAAATCACATTCCTTTTTATGCTGGTCAATTCGGCTAATATTCGACTTGCCTATCACAAACACATTAACTATAAACCAACACCAAACACGTCCACGTTGGCTTCACTGACTGTCCCCGCTTTGTGTGTTTGCACCACAAACTGTGGACTGATGAAAAAATGACCACTGGCCTTAAATGAGTGCTTTATTGGAATATTTAAAATGAAAAATATTGTCTGTTAAAGCGAAAAACGTCAGCTTAATTTTGTTTTGCGAGTTGACAACTCATTGGACTTTGCACTCACGAGAGTGAGTTTGACCTGTGCTCTGAGAGGACTGAGTGAAAATAGATAAGACTCGATATAATTTAAACAGTGACCTGGTAATGACTTAACGACGAACATTAAAATGTGAGATACAAACCAAAATAGAGCACTAAGCATAACTTCTTATAAAAATACGATTGGGAGCAAATTTGGTTATGATAAACAACCCGGAGGACATTTTACGCAACACAACACGGTGGCATTTACAGGTAGAAGAAATGTCAAAGAACTATCATTATTACCGGAAAACCTTCTAGTTCTTTAAAGAATGAAATTCACTGAACTTACGGTGAAATATCCAACCCCAAATGTCACGGAAACTATCCAGAACATGCTGGTTCTTTTAAAATAGTCACATCCATCACTTTTAGCCATGGTTACTGGTGTACTGCGCTTGTCCCGCTACAAAATGTGACCGTGTGGAGACAGCGGCGGAGGGGAACGTTACAACAGGGTTATGCCTATCAGTGGAGTGTTCGTTACATAATTAATAACGCTGGCTGTAACTGAAATAAATACAACACGAATCCCCGCTCTAAAGTGGTTTACTATTCTCTTTTCCACCGAGGATTTTCTTTGTCTCTCATCTTGAAATTTAACCTTTAAATCATCATGTAGCGTACCACGTGCTACTGCACTTAATGCAGCCCCGTGGCTCCCTTGTGTGTGAGAATTTCAGAGTTTTTAACAATCATAAACACACACAAACACACACAGTCTTAGGATGTATGCTTGTTGACAGTCAGAAAGAATCTAATATTTTCATTTACCCATATGAACTGAAAAAATTGCATTATTAATCACATCTAATCTTCCCATGAGAAGATATTTTGTATTTTGGTGATTTTTGCACCTGTGTATTAGCTTTGTTCCCTAAAATAAGGTGCAGGCAGCTTCTGCATATCATCAAACATTACCCAAACCAGATAATATGATATGAGACATGTTGATGTTCTCATTATAGAAATGAATGAGAACATTGATAACTAAAAAAATCCATAATAAATACACAAACTTCCCCCACATCGTTGTCTGACATTTACCTTTTTTCTGTATAACTTATTATCTATTGATTCTTGTGAACGTAGGTCATCTTAAAATACTCTTCTGACTCTGTAAAAGAGGTTTTAAAAAAATGAGGCACAAATGTCCAACTTTCTGTTTGTGTAGATTTTGGCGCCCCCTGTGGACAAATTGGTACACCTTGAATTTCGGCTGATTTTGTTCTGTACATGTGTTAAGTGTCATCCTGCTGTCTTTCTCTGACCATGGTGTTTTATGTAGAAAATGTCAGTAAAGACTTTTTTCTACAGCACATAGAGAATCATCTGCTCTGGCAGAGTAAGGCATATAAAATTACAATGTAGAAAGTGTCATCCTTGTGGTTGATGTTCTTGTTTGTTTTGTGAAAAGCACCATTATTCATTTGAAATCATGTTATAACTGCCTTAAAGACTCCTTACTGAGGTTTCAGTAAAATTTGCTGCCATTTCTGGCCAGCTGTTCAAATGAGAGCTATTTGCTTTCAGATAGTCTGTGAATGTTGTTTGCTTCATGTAGTGAAACAGCAGACTTTCAACCCCTGCAGTGTTTTAGTTTTTTTTTACAAAGATTGTACTTTTCCGACACAAAGACAGAACCTTATCTCACTTTAGATTGGAAAGTATACTGCTGCACAAACAAAAAGTTAAGATATAGGATCTTAAAAAGATGCTCTTGACAAGTACTTATACCTTTTTTTGGTCTTTCTTCCTCTTTGTGCCCTGCACTCAGGGGTTTTTAAGGATTTTTTTTCACCACAGATGGCCCTACTTCTTTTAACTTAAGTAAAATCCTCCAACAGCCAGGCTTAATGTCTGGATGATGAATTACTGCTTCTCATTAGTTTGCAATGGTGCAACCATGCATGTGAGGGGGAAAAAAAGTTAATAAAACATTACAAGATATTTTAAATGCACATGCATGAGTACATGTTTTTTGTTTTTAATTAAGAGTCATGTATGAAAATGAAACAACATTCTTGTTAGTTACGTCTTGTTAGTCTAGCTAGTTAGTTAATTCACATTATAATGAAGTGGCTCAGGTCTGCTGATGCTCATATTAACAGAAAAAAAATCGAAGCAAAGAATTGTGTCTACATGTATGATGGGAAATTTGTTCACACAATCATTGAAAAGAAATCACTTAATAAAGTAAGTATTGAAAACATCCGTGGGTTAATTAGTTGTACCTTTATTTTGTGCTGTAGGGGTTGTGTTTTGATTGACAGCCTGTTTGTTTGAAAGATTAAACTTTACACGCAGAGATAAACTGATCAGGTGACTTTTTAATATGCAGATCTTTGTAGTGTCAGGACCAAAACAAAGCTCTTCATAGTGATTTTACATTAACTGAATAGCCTCTAAGCCAAACCTGTGTTTATTTGCCTTTAATCACTTGATCATTGTATGTTAACCCAAAGTAAAGGCTTTACTCTGGTTTATTGATAAGGCATGTTACATATTGTTTAATCAGACTTACTTTAATTTCACGCAACTCTGTTCTTATAAGTGTTATAAATTGCTGAATAAGTTTAAACCATTGTAAGTGTATTTTTCCCCATTTAGCCATATGTTATATAAATCATCTGACAGGATTTGGATGAAGCACAGAAAATGTTGGTGGGACTTTCGGGAGCCGTCTCCACACATGGAGACATTGATTCCTCAAGTTATTCTAGATAAAGATAAAAGACATGTTCTTAACTGGTTTTGTTGTATTAGATAAGTCTGATAGTCTTCAGGCTGCACTGTTTTCTAGTACGCCCACAAATACTGTAAGTCTGTTTCTGCACTTTGCCCTCCTGCACTGTTTGATGTTTAAGTCTGTGTGTTAGCATCTCACATTGTCAGTGACACCCACTAAATTTTAAATGTGTCCGACAAAGAGGTGCAGAAGCATCAGATGGACGTATAAGAGCTGACAAAACAAATATAAAACACAGTATGCCTGCAGCATGTCGGAGCACAGCAGAGAGGTGAAAGGTGATAACATTTACATATAGTTCAGTCAAGGCCCGGACATGTCAGTCCATTTGACAGGCTCTCCTCTCCTTTGTGCTGCAGAGTCTCTGTCCATTAATCATTGAATAAATCCCCTGGTTTGTTTTTCCTTTGGAGGTAATGTGAAGCTGCTCTGCATCAGAAAAGAAATCAGGAGCTGTTGTTGATTTTTGCTAACATCTGAGAGTTTAAGATTTCTTTGAGTGCAATACATGCAAAATAGGGGATAGCAATGAAACATGCAGAATGGCATGCAGATATAAATTGATAGACATATCTGATTCAAATTCAAGAGCATTTCTAACTCTGGTGTTTTCCTGTTTCTCTGGGGTGGTTTTTTTATTCTTTGTCTTTGTAAAAAATGATAATAATGATGTCTCATGATGTCAGTGTTAATAACATAATTTACTTCTGGCTTTAATTATTCTGCTATTGTGCAAAAGTTCAATTCAACAGTGGTACAAGGACGCCACCAGGAATTTTGGAGTCGGTGTTAAGTACCACAATGGGCCCCACCGCTTAAGTAACAGAAATCCTTAAATTTTGTTATATTTGTTTTCATTTTTATTTTCTTGTTATACCTCCATGGTTCGGTTGATAAAGCCACAGTATAAAAAAAAATTCAAGAAGTCAAGTTATAACATGAAAAAAGTGTTATCAGAAAAAAAGTCATAGTAGAGTCAAAAACACTACAATCATAACAAAGTTGTACTCAGTGAAAATAAAGCTAATAGAAAATAGAGAATTCTTGCAGTGTTAAAAGAATAAAGTAAATGTATTTGAAAAAGTTGTAATCACAGGACCTAGTGTATCTGTATGCAAGCTAAGATAAGATATAGGGTGACATTAGGAGAGTATCCAGCTGTCTGCAGTAATACCAGAACATGAATCATCTTGTGAAGTATAACTCAAGAGCTGAGGACAAACAGTGGTTGCAGCAGCGTGCACAGTCCATCCCTGAAGCAGAGATTACTGGACCATCAACTCAGAATCTTGACACTTACAACAGTCTGGTGCTGATGTGCTTAAAGATTAAGTTTTCAATTGTGTTGAAGCATAAAGTATATTTGTATAGCATCATAGGATGCCCCTTCTTCCTCACTTCAGTCCAGGCAGCTGCAGACTGCTCTTACACTCTGCTGTTTCAACATTTCACACAGGCTAACTATAAACTACAGTTATGACTTTTTTTCTCATGATTTTACAACTTAATTATCATCATAATGCAACTTTGACACCATAATACTAAAACTTAATTTTCTTATGACATTATTCCCACAGTTAATTCTCAGAATCTCTTTTTTTCACCCTTATTGTGGCTCTAATGCTTTGTTATCATCATTAGTTCAGTTATTTTTCCTGTTGTTTTTTTTTTTTTGCCTTACCAAACAAAATAGCTGAAAACTGGGGCAGGGTTGAAGCCCAGAGTCCTATCAGCAACTATTGCGATGAGGACTGTGGTCCCTGTACTTCTACTGCATTACCAAACTGGGACTCTGTGTTGGATTGCTCACATGCTTTGTAAATATTAACGTTTTTAAGACTGAATTAGGTTTAATAAAAAGTAAGAACTCCTTTTCTGGTGTTTTAGTGCATAACAATATAATTAAAAGTCTATGCCAAGCTAATGTAAAATAACTAAGAGAGAATGCTCAAAATTCAGCAAGTTCTTATGGCATCATTAAAATCATTAGCATGAGTCTGTGTCCGTGTGCTTTACTGCAGCATTTCATTCACAGCACAAAAACACAAACTATCACATGTTTGTCGTTTCAGAGTTAAGTGGTATCGATGGGACTTTCTTTTGTCCCAAAATCATCTATACCTGCCGTTGACCTTAACGTCACTTGATAGAGATTAAGTGATAACGAGGAGACGGGTGTATGAGGGAGCTCAGAGTACTTCTTCCTCAAAGTAAAACGACCCCCCCTCCTCCCCCTTCCCCTCCCCAATCCTCGCTCCTGTGCAGGCTTTACCATGGCCTTCTGGGGTCTCAGGTGATCAATATAAAGCTACCTGACAAGGACAGGGGACACAGTCTGAGAGTCATACACAGAAGAAACACTCTGACACACTGACCTCAGAGCAACACAAATCTATTTGCTGTCAGAGCTTCATTCATTCAGCTGCAAACATGTGGAAGGACAACAGCAACGGTAAGGAATCTTTTAAGGTCTACTCTTAGAAGGAAGCAAGAGGGCTTGAATTTCAGAGCATGTGGAAAAATTGGTGTTTTACTTTATTTACTCACAAAATGTGCTAAAATGTGCTAAAATGAGAGATATTTAGGGTAGCAGGAGATATAGTGGATAATAAGACATGATCCGTTTCAAGAAAGCCTCTGCATGAAGCAGCGCTTTATTCTCAGCTGGATATCTTTGCTGTCTAATTATTGCTTCTTTCATGAGCTGAATTTTTTACGGTGGGTGTTGGTTAAAACGCTGCAGATCCAGAACTATGCAAACTTAGAGAGCAAGGAAGTTTATTGCATGTTCATACTGAACATTTTGTATATTATGCATTGAAATTACCAACATTTCTTCAACTAGAATTTTGGAGGAAAATTATTTTAGTAAATAGAACAAGTAAATTGTGCAGAACTTGTGGATGCTTTCTGATGTATAACCAGCTCCCTCCTCTGTCCCACAGATGATGCACGAGCCTCCAGCAATGGCTCCTCTCGCAGCACCAGCCGCAGGAAAAGAACCAGCTTCTCCAAAGAGCATGTGGAGCTGCTACGCGCTACCTTTGAGACTGACCCGTACCCGGGCATCAGCCTCAGGGAGAACTTGTCTCAGACCACCGGCCTGCCAGAGTCACGCATACAGGTACAGAGTCATCACATTTAGCAAAATCTCTTACAAGTAAAAAAAAAAAAAAAAGATTGGATAAAGTAAACAGATTTGAGTGTTATGAGCACGTGTAACACACTCAATACTTTTTTGCATGTATGCATATATTACAAACACTCAGAGAGATGTGTTTGTGTTGCTAGTCTTTCACTCTGCAGTTTCTCACTCTGCAGTTTCTTATCATAGACAGGCTCTGTGTTCAAATGCATCCTGCATAGAGTTACAGATACACAATCACAGTATCACTTTATTTCTTATCTGTAAAGATGACACAAGCTGTTTTTATCAGCTGACGGATAGACAGTGCAAAAGGCTCTGAGAGCCAAATCCCCCGCTGCCTGTTTGTACACAGATTGATTAAAAGAAAAACGAGTGTTGCTTTTTATTTCCCAGTTTTAATCTGAGCTTCCTTCTCCTCTCTTTCCTGTCAAGGTGTGGTTTCAGAACAGGAGAGCTCGCACACTGAAGTGTAAAGGAGCAAAGAAAGCTCTGTGGCAGTCGGACAGCCCCGTCCACGATCCCTTGCCTTCTTCTCAGACCCACAGGGGCCTGCCTCAGGGTCCCCCACCTGCCTACCCCGCCCAGGTGAAAGAGGAAATTGAGGAACCCTGCTACTATGACCAGTGTCCCCCGGCCTACTCCAACATTGAGGAGCACGGACATTACAACACAATGTATGGACTGCAGCAGAGCCAACAGCTGGGGAGCAGCTCCAGCCCTCCTCTGAGGGGTCTTTGGTCACATCCAGGCAGCCACACACCCCCTGTGCCCCCTCAGTGGTGCCACTCTCCTCTGGAGATGAGAAACTATGGCTCAAACTTCATGTATCCAGGATCAGCAGAGCAGCAGATGTACATGCCAAGCTCAGGCTCCCACTCCACTCCTGACACACCAGACTCTGGGTACTGGGACAACAGTCTGGAGAACAGCCCCCCACTGGAGGGTCAGTACACACAGCTGGAGGATTCATGGAATGGGGCTCCTCCGGAAGGCTGCAGGGATTCAGGGTACCTGCCAATGGCCCAGCATGCCCCGCTGCCAGAGCTGTCCCTGCAGGAGATCCTGGGGGAGCTGAATGAGGACTGGTTGGGAGGGGACCACACTGTTGTGGAGAAAATGTCTCTCTGCTGAAGACTCCACTATAAGAATCCATCATGGACAATTTCCAATCATTTGTATTATTCTGATTGAAGTTTTTTTTTTTTTCTTATGAAATGTGTTTCACAAAATAACTCGGCAGAACTACCGAAAACCCGCTCATACAATTTTAATCTTATTTAATTCATCAGTCTCCAAATAATGTATTCATTGACTATTTATAACTTCTATTTGAGATTATTTGCACTTTTATATTAATAAATCAGTGGTACTAAAACAAGAAAGTCTTCTCTGTTGTCTTATCTTATTATTGATTTTGGGTTAATTTGCAACCAACAAGAACAAGATAGTCCCTCTTGACGTCAACAGGACCATGAATTCCTTTGGTATCAAGATGTGACAGATTTTATGTGGAGGGGAGAGGAAAGTAGGTCAAACACTAATAACCAACAGAGGGCGACAGTGAGTCAGAAACGATGAAGAACATACGGATCTGTTTTAGACCTCCACTGAGGGAATAACACAAGAGTACAAGACCCAAAATAAAAAAAGCCTTCACTCAAAATAACAGAACTTTCATATAAAAAGAAGATAGTTTAAGAAGTAAATGAACAATATTACTATTGTCCTTATTTGACATAATTTAGCGACTGATAAGTACACTGAGAATAATACAGTCCCATAAAATATAATTACTCATAAAAAAAACATCAAAGTCCATGTTTTATAAAACAATGACCATCTGATTATATCATCTCTAAAAAGGTGAACAAATCATGATTTTTTAGATTAAGTAATAATAGCATTATTCAAGTTTGTGCGCTGGCTAATTTCAGAAGTAAGCAGCATGCTGTGATCCCTATTATGCCTAAATCTTGGACTGGGTTGTTGCTTGCTTAAATGTGTTAGCTACAGTACAAGTGCTAACAGTGCTGATACAATAACTGTAAAAATCAACATTTTGTGTGCTGACTACTTTTAGGACTAATAACTCGCATTTACATAAAAGTTTGTTCTGAGCGTGTTAGCCAATAGTAGTTAATAACTTGCTACATGTTGGTATTTTTAAAAATACTTGATTTTAGGTTGAAGGAGAAATATTGACCTTTAGGTATTAATTCTGTCTGGTTTAATCAAGTCAAAGTTTCCTAATTTGTTGATAGTAGATAGCTGCTTGGATTGTTTGAGTCACTTCATAGGAAGTCTATGAGGGTGCCGGTATACTCTGCTACAGAGCTCATAATAATGCTAAAGCAGTATGATGTATAGTAAAGAAACTTTTTTTTTTTTTTTTAATGCATCTTTTGATATTATGTGAAGAAGGTCAGCTTTCTGTTAGGTCAACATCATGAAGCTTGATTAATATTACATTTTTTTAGCACTGTCAGCATAAAGCTGTCAACCCCGGTACAATTAATGTTACGTTCCAGTTACCTTGGAAGTCAGATGTCCGAGCTGGGAATGACGTCACACCCGAGTTACCAGCATTTCAGTTAAAAAAGTCCTTTTTCCAAGTCGGAAAAAAGCAAAATAGGAGGCGGAAACAAGATGGCTGTATCTACAAAAATTATTTTAGCACTTGCATTGTCCGAACATAAGCAAGGACAATGCAAACGCTAAAATAACTTTCGTAGATGTAGCCATCTTGTTTCCACTTACGATTTTGCTTTTTTCCGACTTGGTAACTGAAACGCTGGTAACTCGGCCTTGACGTCATTCCCAGCTTGGACTTCTGACTTCCGAGGTAACTCAAAAGCAGCAAAAGTTCCAAAATTTGCACATTTTGAGAATTGCATTCAAAGAGACTCCCAGATAGCTTAGCTGACAAGTCAAAAGTAATGTGAACTTTGTTTCAAATGGAATTAAAACACCACCAAAGTCCTTTGAGTTTGATCTACCAACTACAAGCTAAGCATACAGGTGCAGCAAATCTGACTGATGTTAGCAAGCAGCTGCATCACATTAGCTGTAATGGCATTATTTAGGAGTGTGCTGATTATCACAGATAAGTGGCTGAAACTAAGTTTAAGATGTCAACAGCAGCTTGTGCTCTAAAAGTGACAGCTGACTGCAGGTCAGATCAACAGGAAGGCTGAGGTCTTGGAAACATTCTCAGGTTGGCATGTTGTGACCCAGATGTATGCCTTACAGTCTTATTTTCTAATAATCTCAGAATAACTGTGTACTATATTGACACTGTTGGGAAATTTTATGTACATTCACTCTTATATTTCTTGGTGTGCAGCAGTTATCCTTTAGAAAAAATAAAAATAAATCCTGTATTTCACAGAATAGACTGTCTCCTTCCTCTGAGTCACATTTTAAACCACACAGGCAGGTGCCCTGCAGCAGTTTTTTGAATAAAAAATCTCCAGATTATAAAGCGTACCTTATTGCTGTTATTAGATTCCCAAGTCAGGACATTGGTAGGAATTGCCTTACAATAAAATAAATATAATAAAAACATGTTTTGTAGTCATATGGTTAGTCTTGATTAAAAACATTCAGATTCTGTGATAAATTGTGATTTAAAAAGTTGTTTGTTTGACAGCCCTATGTTAAATGTTTTCAGGTCAAAGCAGTTATGAGCATTAAATGATTTTAGCAGTGGAACTATAACTAGTTATTTAGCTTTAGGATTTAATTTTCGACTTGTCCATTACCTTTCACAACATCTGCCAGCACCAGAGCTCCAAATCATTATTAGATGTAACTTGAGGTACAGACAAATTTTTTGCTCAAGAGCTGGAGGCATTTTTATTTCACTCTTATGAAAAAGGTCAATCTGTTTTTAATTTCCTTTTCCAGTCCCACATCACATCCTAAAAGTTTTATTATCAGCTCAGGATTACAGAAATCTCATCCGTGTACGAGCTCTGTGTTCTCTCTGATCTGACGACCCTTGACGTACACTTCTTTATCAAACATGCAATGGAAAAGTCCAAGACTGTACACAGGATGTTCATCTTGAGGCCTGAGCTGTTTCCCAAAACAATGTGCTTACGTTGTTTGTTCTGTTTTGGCCTCCTGCCTTCATCCTCAAGATGGAAGGAAGGGTGTTGTCCTTTTGTTTTAGTGTCTGTCTTTGGTTCCAGGCCGGGATGCAGGAGGGAGCTCACTAAAGATAGACCAGAAGAGGAAATGTCACAGACTGTTAGAGCCTGGCGTGTGTGGAGCAGGTGTGTATACATTAAACAAGATAAAGAATACTTCTTAACAACCAAAGACAAAACTGATATCACTAATCTTAAATTAAAACAGCCAAAGATGAAATATGGTTCTCACAAATCACAGAGGAAGGAAAGGAAGCTCCACTTCTGTTCAAACTGCAGCTGTCTTCACAAAGACATTCAATATTTCTATATTCTGGTTTTCAAGAGTATTGTTATGAAATATTGATCTGAATTGTCCTACATCTCCTCTGCTAACTTTTTCTTTCTTCATAAAACTTTGTTTCAGACGTGGTGAATATTTTACAGGAACTTCCTCATGTGTGATACTTCTGTTTTGTCAAAAATTAAATAAAAAAACATTAATAGACTGAGAGGGTTCAAAATTTTTATCAGGAACAAATCTGTTTCTTCTACTACTAGGTCATAATTAATTATGTTAAAGTACTCTGTGTGTTTTAAGGTTATAAGACATGATTGATTCATGATATTCACAGAATTGGCCCTCCTAATGCTGAACATCAGATCAAATACTCTAATCAGTAATCAATCTTTCTGTCTCCTTTGCCTGTTAAAACTGTGGCAAAAATGTTGTTGCCTGTTTGCCGTCTGAATCTGTAATTAACATGAGGGATCGTTTTGATCTTATTCCTAATTCATTTAGAAAGGACAAAACTTAGCATGTGTAGTTCTTCATTTTTCTTTCAAGCAAAGAAAATAAAGAAGACAGGAAGAAACAGTGACTAAAAGGTTAAAATACAAAAAGAGCGAGGGGAGAAAGACTCAAAGCAAAAAGGGTTAGTGAAAGGAAAATGTCTCACAACTTACAAGTTACTAAACAGAAGACCCTTATCACATGCTGCAGTGATATAACATATTAGTTCAAAACACCAAAATACTAGATCCAAATATACATTTTTACTTTATTTTGAATGCCCAATTAAATGTTAAATTGTTCTATGGCTGTGGATACAGGGGGACGGTGTTTTAATAAATCAAATTGTTTTTATCTTCAGCTGGTGGATGTATATTTAGTGCCTGTTTTGTATCTGGGTTGTGCTCATCAAGCAGGATTCCAGTCTGCTGTAATACCTTGCTGGACAAATCTCTCGAAATGTGTGAATCAGCTAAAATTTGGTTCAATGTGGTCATAATCTGTATGTATAAAATAGTGCATATAGCCTTTGGTCCAGGGTTAGAATATTCTAAATTTGCAGCCTTTAATGTAAAACATATCAACAAAACTCTGACTAAACTTCCATCAGAGCTGACAGTGATTTTCAATCATCAATAGCTCCTGTTATCATAACCATACTGAATACAAATAGTTTTCTAAATTTAACACAAAATCCCCACAATTTCATGAAAACAAGGCTGAATGAGTGTAAATTTCAAACTTAAATTGTGACAATAACTTAGAATGGCGCTGGCAATAAAGTGTAACAAAGAATTTGGTGGTATTTTTTTTTACTTTTCGCTTTAAAACAGTCAAACTTGACCAAATTAATCCTGACACTTAAGGTTAAATGTGTTTATCCGCAGTTTTTCAACTAAAAAATTAGGGATAATTTCTGGTAAATGAGGCATGTTGACTGTAACATAAAAATAAAATTAACTTAGAAAGTCAAATACAGAATTAAATAATACATTATATTGTAATATAATCCAAGCAAAGTAGACAAAGTCGAAATACGCCAAAGAAAATGAGGGAAATACAAGGGTTAAACACATTTTTATTACAGCTCCTTAAGCTGTTTGTATCTAGTTATTATCAAAGGTGTCAGTACAAGGGATGATTTCTGGTTTTCATATGTTTTCACTTTCAGGAACTTTGGAGTGGTTCAAATGAAAGACAGCTGAAGA